ATTTTAAGTGTAAATAGCCTTTAATAAATTTAAGAAAGTCTCACTGTTTAAATTAACTTAGTTTTCACTTAAATTACTTCAATGGTTGTTATATATTATGTGTACTTTATTCATTCATATATTTATTATCTAGCATGTACAATGATTCACTATTTCTTGTAGTGTATGTGTTAATACATATGTACACTTTATTTCATTCGATATCTTATGTCATGTTAAAACAATTTTGACGTTAATTGTAGTCGGGGTGTTAAGACGGCTACTTGGTCAGTTATAAATCGTTACGTAGGCCTGGACAACAATGCAAGGCCACGAATATCAATTTAAACAATAATATTCCATATTGATTTATTGATGTAAACTTATCCACACCTCCAACCAGTTCCCAAAATTCCATATATAACCACTGACTGTATTTAAAGTCCGTAACCCTCCGACTTCCCTTCGCGGCGTGCACGTCGCTAGAAGGGCATAGGTCACACCAGATGGGTACCTAGTTAGTTCGCTTAGCTAGTGTGACCTAACCAACGGTGAAGGGTGTGGCCCTACAAAGAGCTGTTGCTCCGGAAGAGGTGCCTTTCCTCTATTGTCTACCGCGTTCAGGAAGCGACGAACTGGTCCTAGAGAAGATCTACGACGAAAGACGGCATAGGAAGACCTCCGTTGTGGCTCTACGATCAGCGACGTTGCAGACGAGCTAAGTCCTCCGTTGCAGGCTCTACAACCAGCGACGTAACAGAGGCCGATAGTCTGAGACATATGGCAAAGCTGGCGCCCATTATAAATAAAACTAAAAACATACAAAGTCCGTAATTAAACTAAGATTGTGTCGAACTTGACACAACAAACAAATGCCAACTCACCAAAAACCGTACAGCAACACGTTATACTATTATTATCTGGTTATTGAGACCGTTTGTTGTTGTCTTGGTAACTCGATGGAAATAACTTACTGCTTATCAGACTTGGCCAGGATATCTGATTTTACATTGTCATCAAATTTCTACAATTTTTTTTAAATTAATTAAAAGACGATTTTTCGCTTGCCTTTAGTTCCTTGTGTTGAAAAATTTTACTATTCTACAAATTTAACTCTTAATAATACCCCTTTTTAAGATATAATATATGATAATTAAAAAAAATATTTTAAGTGGGGGGAAAAACTTTTTTATAAAAGCTTTCAATACCATTATCAGATGAGCTGAAACTTGAAACAGTCATTGACACCTTCAAACTAGCTTAGATACTCGTATTTATATATGTATAATAGTAACGCTGATGCATCGTCATTTTTTTTAAATGTGGAATTGATTTATATTAATTATAACACGCACGCACGCACACACACACACACAGTTGCTCATATGCATATAATGATACATTATATAGAGATTAATGAAGGAAGTTCTTTAACAAATGAACACTTTTTCATGTGAAAGAAGCCAAAGTCCCTGGCGGGATTCGAACCTACAGCTGTGAATAACGTTCCTTTTACAGAAGGAATAACATAGGGAAACTTTGCTGTTTAAATAATCAGAAAACTGGAAATGGTAAAAAAATCAACATTTCCACTATCAGGAACAAGAAATATTATACATGTTTCGGCCAGTATTTAGTATGGTGGCTGATTTGGTACACTCTGCGCGTTGCCAACACAACCTATATCGTTTTTACGGTGTCTGATTTGGAACGCTTTTTTGCGTCGTGTTTGCGCTAGCGATAGCAGGACAAAGCGCCAAACGGCGCATTGTCGGACTTTCGTCTTGTCGTCCTGTCGATCGCTAACGATGTACGCCAAACGGCGCGTTGTCCTGCGGCGTATTGTCGCGATGTCACATTGTCGCTCAGTTCAAATCGAAGTATTGGCTTATAAGCCAAGCGACAGAGCGATATCGCGACAACGCGCCGCACAAAAACGCACCATTTGGCATGTTGCGCTAGAGACAATTAAGGCGACAACGCGCTGTTTAGTCTTTGTCGTGTTGTCGCTAGCAACAAGATGAAAATACGATAACGATATAGCTTGCGTTGTCGCTATCGACAAAGCAACACACAATGTACCAAATCAGTCAAACGGTGCGTTGTCGTGCGGCGTCATGACGCCCTGCCGCTTGGCATATATATATATACAAATAGCCAATCCTTCGGTGTTTGAGCCGAGCAAAAATGTGACATCGCGACAACACTCCGCACGACAACGCACGGTTTGGTGTGTTTCGTTAGCGACAGGACAATAAAGCGACAACGCGCCGTTTGGCGCTTTTCGTGCTCTCGCTAGTGACAACACGACGCACAAAGGTATTCTAAATCAGCCACTATGGTTTAGACACTGTCGTTGCCCTGGTAAAACAAGGGTGCCATAGTCACAAAATACGCCCGTTTACGAAAGCTTTAGATGGAGATGGGGGCATTATGGATAAGTGTTATCTAGCAAGCAAGTTTTTTATTCTTGGCACTGTGTTGTTAAATGAACCTTAAAACAAATCAGTAGGGAAGATATGCACAGGATGTGTGACCTTGACCTTGGTCGCAGGGACCTGAATTTTATGCACGGCACTCAGCCTCACAATGATGAACATTTGTGCCAAATTATATTGAAATCCCTCTATGCATGTAGAAGTTTTGCTCCAGACAAGCGTTTTTCTATGAGCTCTAACTGTGACCTTCACCTTTGACCTAGAGACTTGGTTCATGTGCAGGGCACTACGTCTCATGGTGGTGAACAATTCTATAAAGTAACATTAAAATTCCTCCATGCATGAAGAAAATATGCTCCGGACAACATCTGGATATTTAATCATCTCCAGTGACCTTGACCTTGCAAATATTAACCTAAATTAAATGTGTCACACCTGTAGTCATGATAGTTACCATTTGTGCTACAATCCATCAATAAATGATGACTAAATGGTCCCTATACACATCTTCAAATTTTTATCTGAACTTTGACCTCTATGTGTAACCTTGACTTTGGTCGCAGGGATCTGAATTTTGCATGCGACACTCAGCCTCACAATGGTGAACATTTGTGCCAAGTTATATTGAAAACCCCCTATGAATGTAGAAGTTTTGCTCCGGACAAGCGTTTTTCAATGAGCTCTAAGTGTGACCTTGACCTTTGACCTGGAGACCTGGATCATGCATGGAGCAATACATATCATGGTGGTGAACATTTCCATAAAGTATTATAAAAATTCTTCCATACATGCAGGAGATATGCTCCAGACAAAATCTGGATATTTCACCATCTTTAGTGACCTTGACCTTGCATATATTGACCTTAAGTACATGTGTCACAGCCGTAGTCATGATAATGACCATTTGTGTTACAATCCCTCAAGAAATGATGATTAAATCGTCCCCATACACATCTTCATATTTTTATCTAAACTTTGACCTCTATGTGTGACCTTGACCTTGGCTGCAGGGACCTGAATTTTGTGCGCGACACTCCGCCTCACAATGGTGAACATTTGTGCCAAGTAATATTGAAATCCCTCTATACATGTGGAAGTTTTGCTCCGGACAAGCATTTTTCAATGAGCTCTAAGTGTGACCTTGACCTTTGACCTAGAGACCTGGTTCATGTGCGCGACACTGCTCCTCATAGTGGTGAACATTTCTATGAAGTTTCATTAAAATCCCTCCATACATGTAGGAGATATGCTCCGGACAAAATTGGACGCCGCCCGCCCGCCCATACGCCCGACCGCCCGCCCGCCAGGGGCGTTCCCATAATACGTCCCGTTTTTCAAACGGGCGTATAAAAAGCCTTTACAAACGTATTTTAATCATTTTGACTGGTTGCTATATCAAGACACATCAGCACAGTGAAGGATGTATGACAGATGCCCATAAGCGCTTTTTTGCACACATAGTGAAGGTCGATAGCTTCCTTTAACTCCTCATATAAAATTATTTAATGTTATAGTGGCGGTAGTTTAATCTTTAACGAATAAGAATTGTCAGTACTAATAAGATTGCAGAGGTTGCGCCAATATACTGTAAAATCATTATTATTCGTGGGGCACGAATTTTCGTGGTTTTCGTGGGTAGGTCAATCCACGAATTTAAGGTGCGACGAAATTTTATCCCAACAATTACTTCTAACCATGTCTCTATTCTATAGATATGCATCGCCGCTTTTCGGCCGATTATTGTGTTATGAATGTAGACAGATAATCAAGTTAGTGACAGATTAAATCTATAAATAGTTAAGGTTTGCAATATTTAAGAAATTTGAAAGCAAGTCGATTATATTTCCTGAATTTCGGTCGTATATACACATCACTGAGACTGCTTAATTGTTGTAGGCTACTTCAAATTGTGTTTCATAATCGAGTAAAAATGGGAAACCAGTGCAATAATTAGCACTAATATAAATTGTCACTAAATTGCTCTTTTACAGTATATGTTTATAAACATCAGAACTTTCCATTCCATAAAGTTTAAACATGTAATTTAGTCAATGATCCCTACTACACTGGGACAAAATAAATACATGTATTTTTGTCCCAGCTACTAGTGCTGATGAAATACCGTTCATGAAAACGTTACCTTTAATTTCTCTTTTATAAAAATATTTGTGTAAGGTTTGAAGTAAATCTTACATTGTAAATGTCATATGTTTTAACGGTCGGGGAAGACCTTGGGTAACACTCCATTCATGCATGACTTAAATTACGGGCACGCACTAAAGTAGCCTGGGTTCCGGTCTGTCGATTTTTTATGTGCCTCTCTTCTGCAAATCCACATGATATTATCAAAACACGATCGAGTATAAAATAGCGCGTTTGTTATGAATAATAAAAAAATATCAACGCCTGAATCCCAGGTTAGCACTTAAGTAGAACCACCGACTTGCCGCAATCTAACTTATATGTTACCTCTCATGAGGAAGTAAATGTCCATCGCATGGTTATATTTGGTAATTTCAAAACATATACATGTAATAAGATACTTTGTTTCAGGTATGTCAATGTCAAATGCACAACAAAGGGTGATTTTTTTATATTGTTTATTTACATAAGAGTCTGATTATAACAATTAGTAACAAGAGAAACATATAATATTGAAGAGACTTCATCTGTACGTTAATACAGCATACGTACGTATGTTACACATATGTAATCACAGTTACTGGCAGTAAATGCCACAAACATATATTACATGTATATGTGCTAAATGCACGCTTGTTTTATCATTCAATATAAAATTTAAAATCTGTGTCCCCTTGTTTCCAATATACTTTAAAGATGGTGAACATTTTTTGGCCACAGTGACATGCACATGCTACTTATAGAAAGCATGGCAAGTCTACAGGCCTATTCAGTATAACTAAACTTTCTAGCTACTTACTTTCAATTTGACATTAAATGCCCCTTATATGAACAGGGCAGTTCCATATTCACTTGTTTAAATTTATCAAGGAAAAGGAAATCGTCTAAATCAAAAATGAAATCTTATAATATAGCTCTGTAGTGAAATATACAGTGTTCCTAAAAACTTGACACTTGCACAAATTTTGGAACTACCCTACCACTAATACAACAGCCAAGAGTATAGAATCGGGTCTAACTGGATGAAATAAAATAATAAATATATTGCCTTGCTTTAAATGGTAAATTGTCTGTGCTTAAACATGCCTGTTTAAATAGAGGATATTTGTTCGTTTTGCATAAGAATGAAATATATTTCACTGAGTGAACACCAGATGCAATAGTTTCACGAGTGGTGTACCACTGTAACGATATCTGTTTAACCTGCATGATTATTTTACCGTGGTCTTTATATTATCAGTACTATTCCATTCATGCTTGAATGTATAGACAGGCGATTCCCGCCACTAGTCAGTTCTGAGATTAAACTTGATAAGCTCACATCTGTGTTCTTTCTTTAATCTATTCACATTCGTGAAATACTGAACTCCGTATCCATAATAAATATACGTACATAAAAACAAGAATGTCAGAAGTAAAAATCGGATAAAAAAGTGAAAAAAAAAAGATTATTAAGCTCTCATATAAAGTATATTTTAAACACTTATTAGAATAATGGAGGGAATTCCACAGCCGCAAATGAATTGGGGCAGTACAAATTTGCCAGACGAATGACAAAAGTTTGAAGAACACGCAACATTAATCTTCCACCGCCCATTATTAGAAAAAAGAGAAGAGCAGAAAGTCAGCTACCATTTAATCTGGGTAGAAAGCAGAGGCAGAGAGGTCTGCCAAACATGGGGCGATATATCCGCAGAAGACCAGAAAAAATTAGAAACCTACTACACACGGTTTAGAAATTACGTACAGCTAAAACTTAACCCCATATTTGCCAGATTCAAATTTTATAACGAAACACAAGGTTCTGACAACTTCGACTCTTTCCTAACACGACTACGGATAAGGGTCAGAGATTGTCAATTCGACAAACCTGAAGAAATGATCCGTGACAGAATCGTTTTTGGGATAAATAACCCAAAAGCCAGAGAAAAAATTGATCATCGAAGGTGACAAGTTAACACTTGACAAAACAATTCACATAATGCAAAATATGGAATACTGCCAAGAACAGTTAAGAACAATAGGCAAAGAAAATGTAGACGCAGTCAAACAGAGAAATATACGCACTAATCATCGCCACCGCTATCATCAGCATCACCAACAACAACAACCAACTGCGCAACAAAAAGCAGCAGGAAACTCCAAGGATGGAAACTGCTCAAACTTGTGGACGAAAAAAACACACACATCATCAAATCTGTCCAGCCAAAAACATGACATGTCATAATTGTGGAAAGTTTTACCATTTTGCCAGTGTATGCAGATCAAAATACAGGAATGTACATAACGTTAGTTCAGTAAATGGATTTAAACAAAGTGATTCGGATGCAGAGAAAAATACAGAATTTTGCATAGACACGGTAATTGTTTCTTCTCCTACTGAACGTGCATTTGTCCAAATAAACGTTGGCCCTTCCCGTATAACTATACATTTCAAATTAGACGCAGGTAGCGCTGTGGATATTCTCCCTTTAATTAAATCAGCTCAAGAAACTCAACATAAATCACCCTCTTGAGCCCCCAGTAGTCACTTGACCTCATACACTGGAAACAGGTTACCTGTATGTGGCACGCTCAACCTGCAAATGAGTGTGTCAATCAAATTGCTATATTGTAGATAGCAACACCGTCCCACTACTTAGTTTACAAACATCTGTTAACCTTAACCAGATACAATTGACATACTCAGTAGAAACCTCCACAGCACTTGATATACAAAAGATCTTATCAGAGTATGGAGATGTATTTAAAGGCATCGGGGTCATTCCAGGTGAAAGTTTAGTTTGTTTGTTTTGGGTTTTACGTCACATCGACACAGTATAGGTCATATCGCGACGTTCCAGCTTTACTGGTGGAGGAAGACCTCAGGTGCCCTTCCGTGCATTATTTCAGGCACGAACGGGCACCTGAGTAGAACCACCGACGTTCCGTAAGCTAGCTGGATAGCTTCCTCACATGAAAGAATCCAAAGTCCCTGTCGGGATTCGAACCCACAGCGGTGAGGGGCAAGTGATTTGAAGTCAACGACCTTAACCACTCGGCCACGGACGCCCCTTCAGGTGAAAGTAAATTGCACATTAGGACAGATGCAATTCCTATCATTAATCCTCCCCGCAGAGTTCCGGAGGCATTAAGAGATAGATTAAAAACTGAACTCCAGCGCATGGAGAAAGAGGGCATAATTACAAAAGTAACAGAACCTAATTCCCTTGTGATAGTTGAGAAGAAAACAGGGTAATTGAGTTTATGTATTGACCCTAAAAACCTGAATGACGCTATACGAAGGCCACATTATCCTATGCGAACTTTTGATGACGTGACGTCACGAAAATAATTCAAAATACTTCAGCATACTAGATATTACACAAAAATATTAGAGCTAAAGACGCTTTGTTTTGACCTGGCATGCCCGCCATTCTCTGCAGAAAATTTCTCAGATTTTGCGAGGGAATGGGTTTTTCACATGAAACATCCTATCAGTAATGGTCTCGCTGAAAAAACAGTATCTATTGTCAAAAGAATATTCAAAAAAAGCCCAGGAAAGCCATAGAAATCCATATTTGTCTATTCTAGAATATAGCAATACACACCTTGAAGTTGGCTTTTCACCAAACCAACTATTAATGGGTAGAAGAACAAAATCAATTCTACCGGTCACTTATGCGCAACTGAAGCCCCAAAGCATCGACCCCATAATAAATAAAACAAGAGGGCCATGATGGCCCTGAGGTCGCTCACCTGTATATAGGCCCCCAACCCCCCCCCCCCCCCCCTCCAACGTTGCAGGGCCAATTTAACCCAAGGGCTTTTATTTGCACAAACTTGGTAGACACCCATAAGAAGATGTTTCATGCTAAACATCTAAGCTCTAGCTCATTGGGCTTTTTAAAAGAAGATTTTTTTAAAGTTTTTACTAATAATACACATATAGTTAAAAACAATGACACCCCTGGGGCCGTCCAGTTTTGACCCCAGGGCTTTTGTTTGAACAAACTTTGTAGACACTTACTAGAAGATGTTTCTTGCTTAATATCTAAACTCTAGCTATTTGGGTTTTTTCAAAGAAGATTTTAAGTTTTTCCTTTACACATATAAAGAAAATCAATGACCCCCTGGGCGGGGCCAATTTTGACCCCAGGTCTTTTATTTGAACAAACTTTGTAGACACTCACTAAAAGATGTTTCATGCTTAATATCTTAACTCTAGCTATTTGGGTTTTTTCAAAGAAGATTTTTAAGTTTTTGCTATACACATATAAGGAAAATCAATGACCCCCGGGGCGGTGCCAATTTTGACCCCAGGGCTTTTATTTGAACAAACTTGGTAGACACCTATTAGAACATGTTTGATGCTAAATATCTTAACTCTAGCTATTTGAGTTCTTTAAAAGAAGATTTTTTAAGTTTTTACAATATGCATATAGGGAAAATCAATGACCCCCGGGGCGGGGCCAATTTTGACCCCAGGGCTTTTATTTGAACAAACTTGGTAAAACTTATTAGAACATGTTTTATGCTAAATATCTTAGCTGTAACTCTTTTGGTTCTTTAAAAGAAGATCTTTTAAGTTTTTTACTATATGCATATAGGGAAAATCAATGACCCCCGGGCGGGGCCAATTTTGACCCCAGGGCTTTTATTTGAACAAACTTGGTAGACACCTATTAGAACAGGTTTGATGCTCAATATCTTAGCCATAGCTCTTTGAGTTCTTTAAAAGAAGATTTTTTAAGTTTTAACTATATGCATATAGGGAAAATCAATGACCCCCGGGGCGGGCCAATTTTGACCCCAGGGCTTTTATTTGAACAAACTTGGTAGACACCCATTAGAACATGTTTGATGCTAAATATCTTAGCTCTAGCTCTTTGGGTTCTTTAAAAGAAGATTTTTTAACTTTTTACTATATGCATATAGGGAAAAACAATGACCCCCCGGGGCGGGGCCAATTTTGACCCCAGGGCTTTTATTTGAACAAACTTGGTACACACTTATTAGAACATGTTTCATGCTAAATATCTTAGCTCTAACTCTTTTGGTTCTTTAAAAGAAGATTTTTTAAGTTTTTACTATATGCATATAGGGAAAATCAATGACCCCCTGGGGCGGGGCCAATTTTGACCCCAGGGCTTTTATTTGAACAAACTTGGTAGACACTCACTAGAAGATGTTTCATGCCAAATATCTAAGCTCTAGCTCTTATGGTTTTTTAAAAGAAGATATTTAAAGTTTTTTCTTTCGGTTGCCATGGCAACCAGAGTTCTGCATGGAATTAAATTCTTTGAACAATTTTTAAAGGTGACCACCAAAGGAACATTCCTGTGAAGTTTGGATGAAATTGGCTGAGTGGTTTATGAGGAGATGTCATTTAAAGTAAAAGTTTACGGACGGACGGACGGACGCCGGACGAAAAGCGATCACAAAAGCTCACCCTGTCACTTTGTGACAGGTGAGCTAAAAAATGAAAGATATCAAACAAAAACAAAAATCTTGCTATGATAAAACCGACAGAACAAACTTCCCCCTTTAAAACTAAATGAGTATAAACAGCATCAAGTTAAAAATCACTGGGAACCAGCAAGTTATAGAAATACACGATGACCGCTCCTATTCAATGCAAACTAAAACAGGTGGTATTTACCGCAGAAACAGGGTCAAGCTGAACAAAACAAAGGAAAACTTTCCAGAAATGCAAGAATTCTCACCTAGAATCTTAGAAGAATCACCTCCCCATAACCCCTTATTGAATCCCAATATTAGTAACTTTCCAGAATCAAATAATTCTGACCACGCTATAACCTCTGAGTGCAATGACAAGCCCCGCCAAAACAACCCTTATACCACAATGAACATCAGGCAGGGAAGTAAAACAGAACAAAAGATACTTTGATGAAAAATGGAGTAACAAATGAACAATAACGCAGAGAACATAAAAAATGTGATTGAACTTTTATCATTTATTTGTTAAACCTGTGTTTTATTTACACGAATTAATGTATATTTTCATCATTGATAAAGTTTGTTGAAACAGCTTAAACATTTATATTATTCATTTTTTCATGTAATAAAAATGTTATTGTTAAATTATTATCAAACATATTTAATAGACATTGTATATTGAAAGAGTTTCAAATTCTCAAGAAGAGGGAAATGTAACGATATCTGTTTAACCTGCATGATTATTTTACCTTGACCTTTATATTATCAGTACTATTCCATTCATGTTTGAATGGGCAGTTCTTATTTACAGACAGGCGATTCCCGCCACTAGCCAGTTCTGAGATTCTTTCTTAAATCTATTCACATTTGTGAATTACTGAACTCCGTATCCATAATAAACATACTAAACATACGTACATAAAAACAAGAAACATTACAGCCACGAGTGAAAATAAAAAAGCCGGTGTTCACGAATGAAATATATTTCATTCTTATATGTTAAACAAATAAATTTTCTTTTGATTTCATGCTTTTTAAGTGATTTTAAGTACTTTTTATTGATTTTGCTGCATAACGTCGAGCATTCTCCCTTATGACGTCATTACATCATGACGTCACATCATCATGTTTGAAATATAGTTCTGTTAAATTTCTCTAATTTTGTTACATTTTTAACATGATGTATGATGACATCGACTTTCTTTTCCTAAAGATGCAAAATTTCTTAAGACGGCATTTATTTTTGCCCATTATTCTATTCTTTTCATCCGCATTCAGATATAGTCCAGCTACAGTGAAAATTATGTTTTATAAATTTCACTCGTGGTTTATCAGATATATTACAGTAAAACACTGGAAAGCATAAAATAAATATGAATATTTGGTGCATAACCAAATTACTACACAGTTATACCCAGTTAATGTCTGTTATTTGAACATTCAACATATATAGAGTACAACGTGAAAACAAATTAAATGTGATAGGTAAAATAATATTATTATTATGATAAACAAGATCAGCAAGGAAAGGCGGCGTTCAATGAAGCCACGATTATAAATATCATAAGTTTGAGTATTTTCCCTAGTCAGTTAAAATTTAATATAATGTCTTACAATGAAAATACACAGAAACATCGAACTTAAGTTTTTTAAATAATTAATTAAAATTGTTCTTTTTATAGAAAATGAGCATTAAATCAAATCAAAAATAAGATGATAAACATATTTCAAATGGAAAAAGATAAAATCCTTGTTAAAATATACATGTATTATATATGTACATCTAAAAATAGACATGTCAAAACAATTATAATAACATTTATATATTTCATATGAAAATCACCCTATCATGTGATAACAAAAACTTCTACACTTCAATGTATAAAACAGAAGCTCTAGGTTACAACTTTTCTACACCGGGACAATATAAACATGAATAAAACAGCCCTGAATCCAAACTTATTGCTGATTTTATAGTAAGCACTTGAGTTAGCATAATAGTTCCGCAGTTCAAACTTTCTTGCTCACATTTAACAATTAACAAGAGGGCTCTGAAGGTCCTGTATTGCTCCACGCAATTTCAGAGATCAAAAAGCTTAAACAAAAGACAGTAACATGAGAAAAGTAAATGTAAAATTTACATATAAAACAAGTCTAGAAATCACCTCAAAACTGAAACAAGAGGGCCATGATGGCCCTGGATCGCTCCCCTGACCCATCAACCACATCCAAGCAATGTCTTAGACAAGCATCCTGGCCAAGTTTGATGACAATTGAGTTAAAAATGTGACCTCTAGTGTGTTAAAAAGGTTTCCCATATTTGGACAATGCGACCTAATTTTTGACTGGAGACAACCCATATTCGAACTTGACCTAGAAATCATCAAAACAACCTTCCTGACAAATTTCCAGAATATTTGGATCAAAACTGCAGCCAGTAGAGTGTTAACAAGTTTTTTTTATTATTTTTAGCTCCTGTGACCTAGTTTTTAACCGGAGATGACCCATCTTTGAACTGGACCTAGAAATCATCAAAACAACCTTCCTGACAAATTTTTAGAATATTTGGATCAAAAATGCAGCCACTAGAGTGTAAACATGCTTTTCTATTTTTAGCTCCTGTGACCTAGTTTTTCACCAGATATGACCCATCTTCAAACTTGACCTAGAATTCATTAAAACAACCTTCCTGACAAATTTCCAGATTTTGAATCAAAACTGCAGCCAGTAGAGTGTTAACATGGTTTTTCTATTTTTAGCTCCTGTGACCTAGTTTTTGACCGGAGATGACCCATCTTCGAACTCGATCTGTATTTCATTGAGACAAACATTCTGACAAAGTTTGACAATGATCCAATCAAAACTGTGACTGCTAGACTGTTAACAACCCAATTGTTGATGACGAACGACGCACGACGATGGATGCCGGACATAGCCCCATAACTATACCTCACCTTGACCACTTCGTTGTCAGGTGAGCTAAAAATTATAATCAAGTTAAAATTTTATGAATAAGTTAAACTTACCAGTCATAAATATACATGCAGGATTTTCTTCCCTTTGTTCACAATCGGACTCACTGAGGCGCATGCGTAAACTAAAAAGCAAGCGTCTATAAGACCGGGAAATGCATGCGAAAAAGTCTTGAAAGTTCCAGAAATATTTTCAACATTACTTCAATATTAGATTTGACTTCACAATGGCACATTATTTATTAAAAGTTATTAAAATAGTGTCACTACAGCTTTAAAATAATTAGTTATTAAAGCCAAGCAAAGCTTTATAGTTTTGATATAGAACTGCATTATAGATTATTATCTACCGCATAAATCCTGCGTTACATATCTTATTGCATCTAGTTAGTAAGTCAATCACTTGAAGTCATCTTTTTCTGATTCAGCTTTAAATTTTGCTAGGCCAGCTAACATGTTATCACGCCATGCACGACGTGCAGGCAGTTTTTCTAATGGCACTCTTTTCTCAAGTTCTTCCTGCACGTTTTTGGCAGTCTTTAGGTCATAGAGAACAGGAAGTGGGTGGAACGTTTCCTGCTGTACATTGTAGGCACCTTGGGCAAATTTTTGACAATAGTCCTCGACACCTTTAGGTAAATAAAGTTATCATTTAATACATTATTTCTTGTCTAGATATACAATTAATATAAGTAAACAGTAAGCATATAAAATATGGTCTACATCGTCAACAAGGGTGCCAATTTATCACAAAATTTCCATGTCACAATGCTCAGTTTTATTACAATGAACATTTATATTAAGATTTCAGGAATAATAAATTATGCTGACACTGTAATAAGGGAGTTAACTCTGTGATGCATAAAACAAGTCATATTAACATGATGCAGCATTTTATTTCATCTTGTAAACCTTAAATAAAATTATATAACTGTTTTTCATAAAAGAGCGATATTTTTGCTAATCAATTTCACCCATTTTTAAATTTTTAATCTAATGAAAGAAAAATTTAAAATAAATCACCATGTGCATTAAGATGCATAGTTTCTAGAGGTCCGATGAAAGCATATCTTCTCCCTAGGCCTTCTGTACATACTCTGTCGATATCTTCCGCACTCAACAATCCTTGCTATAGACATGAGAAATTTAAACAGGATGATACACTGTCACTTAGGTTAAATCATCTAACAATCAACAATTTCATTTTCTTTATGATAAACAATTTCAAATGAAACTTATCTTTTCAGGCTTGACTTAATAAAAAACTGCAAGTTTTATATTTTAGTATAAAGAGGTTATGTCAAATTAGACAAGAGCCCCACAGATTTATATCTTATAAATTTTTACCTTATACATATTCCAGCATTCATTTATACAAGCATATTGTATTCTGTTGAGGGCAAAGCCTCGAGCCTCATACTTCAGTGTGATAGGTGATTGACCGATGTCTTCCATCAATGACCTCACTTTCTGTATCACATTCAACCATGTAAACGGTGCAGGAACTATCTCTACTAGGGGTAGGAAATATGGAGGATTTACCTGAAACATAAACATGACTCATCATATAAAACATATAACATAATAATGAGTGTCTCAATATCAAACATATTCTTTCGTCGTTGGTTTTTGTATGATGTGGGTGATGACAAGGAACATTTATTTGAAATTTAAAGAAAATCTTTCATGAAAAAAAGTAAGTATAGTAAAAAATATTTTATTCAACAAAAACTTCAATCAGAAATCTGAACATGGAAGCCAGAGTGAGTAGGACAGGTTTTTGTATATTTTGTACAGTTAATTCAGTCTCAGTGAAATTGAAAAAACAACTCTGATAATCATATCCACAAAGGTAATCTACAAAACAAATATCTAAGCCATTGATCAATAAAAGATGACACTAAGAAAACATAATATAAGTAACAAATATTGAAGAAAAGGAGGAATGCAGGAAGAAAGAAACAAGATATGTTTGTAAAACATGTATGCCCCCTATCCGCAGCCAGTTAGTCATGTGATCAGGTTATTATGCATGACTTCTGACCCAGTGAACAAACAATTCATAAGGGTTATCTAGTATCTACTGGTCATGACTAGTCACAAAGTAATAATTATTGTGACCCCATAGGTTGTGTGCAGCAATTTAAGTTATTACAAATCTTACCAAATAATATATGCATAAATTTTATGAATCATGTAGGCCTCATTAATGACAGCCAAGTTGTTATGTTACATAAGATCTTCAAATGTGTAAACCAAAAGCATTTTTAGTTTAATATAACAATATCAACCAAGGCAACTTGAGTTGTTGAGTTATTGGTCAGAAACCATCATAGAGTACAAAGTCGATATGACATTGACCCCTTAACCCCAAAATCAATAGGGGTCATCTACTGGTCATGACCAATCATCATACCAAGTTTGAAGTTTCTAGGCCTAAACGTTCTTTAATAATTGTTCGGAAACCATTTTTACCTACAAGGACAATGTGACCTTGACCTTTGACCCCAAAATCAATAGGGGTCATCTGCTGGTCATGACCAATCACCATACCAAGTTTGAAGTTCCTAGGCCTAAGCGTTCTTTAGTTATTGATCGGAAACCGTTTTTACTTACAAGGTCAATGTGACCTTGACCTTTGACCCATTGACCCCAAAATCAATAGGGGTCATCTACTGGCCATGGCCAATCACTATACAAAGTTTAAAGTTCCTAGGCCTAAGGGTTCTTTAGTTATCACTCGGAAACCATTTGGTCTACGGACCGATGGACCAACGGACCGACGGACCGACAAATGCAAAGCAATATACCCCCTCTTCTTTGAAGTGGGGGCATAATAACACTATAACACTACATATGACATATAGTCCTCTATAAATTCTGGAAGTATATTGTGGCCTCCAAAATTTCAAGAATTTCTTAATTAAACATCAAATAACTAACAAGACATCTACAAACAAGACACAACAAGCATAGTTACATACTGGTTGAGCAACTAACATGTTCTGTCTATGCTTGAAATCTTCAGCATACATGGAGACTGTTAGACAATTACTAGAGCTTGCCACTATTGTATCATCATCCATTAGATCATCTATCTGTCCAAATACTTTCTTCTTTAAATCCAAATCTTCTGGTACACACTCCTTCAATATATCACATAAAATGTTCATATATCAAATAAATTTTCATAGTTTCTACTATGTATCGTGAAATTTTCATAGTTTCTGCAATATTTTATAAAATGTTCTTGGTCTGTAAAATGTTTTATAAAATTTTTATAGTTTCTGAAATATTTCATAAAATATTCACAATTTTTAAAATCAAAACACTTTTCGACCTTTGCTCTCTGCATGTTATGCGAAGTTATGTTATAGTAAACATATTGTCATAATGATCAAAACTTTATGTCCAATACTGAATATCATAATGAATATATATTTTTATAACAATCATTCAATTTAAATAACTTTTATTTATCGAAGGTTGGGAGGTGACCTACATGTAATGGTTAAGGTGACTGCCTCTCTACCTAGAGATCATGGGTTTGAGCTCTACTTTTGTCATGACAATATTTCCAAATATGACACCAGTACCAATTAGCTCAACAATGTATTCTCAAATGTGGGTAAATTAAGCTATATGCTTTCTCCCATCAAGCTGAAACAAAACATAACAACTTAAAACTATAATGTATATATAACAAATATAATTCAATAAAGTAGAATGCAGCACTTTATTGAAGAAAAAGTTTACCTGAACATAAAAAGCACCACTAATACATTCCTGAAGATTTGTTGTGCCCTTTATTCTCTCTGTCTGCTCTACGGCACTCCCCTGACCCCTTAGAAGACCTTTCTCCTGGTACCCAGCAAGTGTATGCTGTGTGGCATCTAGTGCCCGGCTAACTTGACCTGGTTCAACGTCATATAAACATACACGATAGCCAGCCCCAGCAAATATCATAGCCCAGTTCCGCCCAATCATTCCACTGAAATCAATAAATATGAGAAGATGAAAATATAAAAGTGCAAGTTTGGGGTACATGTAACCTGCAAGCTGGCATTATTGCAGCTACTTAGAAAACAAGTGAAGAAATTGTGACAAAATCTGTTTTCTCCTACAGTAATAATTAGTTGAAATCCCTTGAGAAATGTCGGAGGTCATGTGCACTAAAGTGTACTGTTCTATAACTTACATATAAAAACTCAACAACAAAAGGACCATAATTCTGCTAAAAATGATTAAAGCACAAAACTATGACAATATGCAACAGAGTATTTGTAAACAGTTCTTCTGCATTCCCCATAAGAAATAACCTACTTGCAATGTTTATGCCTGCCAACCCAAGTGCCCACTTCCAAACATTTACCAATCTAAGGACCAATATTTCTCATCCAAAATCCTGGCTGAAACTATTGTACATATCCAAAAAAACACACCATGATAAAGTTACCACAATGCTCAATTCTGTGAAAACCTTTTTTTATTTGGATGTTTGACATCTGTATCTTTAAACCACCTTTTATTATCTTTATTGCATAATGTAAATGTTGGTTTTGAGTGTAATCTAAAAGAAATAATAAAAAAAAACTGTAAAAAGTACAAATCACTAATCAGAAAAAACTATTGTACATATCCAAAATACACCCCATGATAAAACAATGCTCAATTCTTTGAGAACCTTCTTTTTTGTGTGAAGGGTCCCAATCCTGTTTCTATCTGTATATTTATTACATAATGTTAATGTTGTTTTTGAGAGTAATCTAAAAAGAAATAAAAATAAATCTGTAAAAAGTTCAAATCATTTATCAGAAAATCAACTTCTTTCTCAGGTTTACTACTTATATAATATGACAACTTTATTAGATAACTAAAATGTGTCATCAAGCCACGGATGCCCCCGCATGCAGCCAAAATTTCAAATATTTAGTTCCAAATTTGTTTGCACAAATTATTTTTTTTCATTTTAAGTTCAAAGCCCTTAAAACTATTCAATGTTAACACAAACCATTTTTATACAATGTTCAAGGCACTGAAATTATTCAGTCTTAACCTTTTGTAAATTGCATATTGCATATTTGTAGCCAAAATAATGGCTACATACATTTCCACAAAAGTATGAGTGCTGAAACTGAAAATTCAAATTTTTTTCCAACATTCAAGAAAGATAAGTTTGTCCAAAATCATTGAACCACGACCAAATTCAAACTTGAACTGCTTCTTCCTAAGATGTATCTATATGTCAAATTTGAGTTGAATGTGTAATACCGTAGAGGAGATAATGAACGGAATCTGAAAATTTCATATTATTTTCAAAGTAAAAGGGGCATAACTCTGCAAAAAATCATTGAACCATGACCAAATTCAAACTTGGCCTGTATTTACTCATGACATATCCATATGTCAAGTTTGAGTTGAATTTGTTGTACCGTTGGGGAGATAATGAACGGAAACTGAAAATTTCATATTATTTTCAAAGTAAAAGGGGCATAACTCTGACAAAAATCATTGAACCATGACCAAATTCAAACTTGGCCTGTATTTACTCATGACATATCCATATGTCAAGTTTGAGTTGAATGTGTTGTACCGTTGGGGAGATAATGAACGGAAACTGAAAATTTCGTATTATTTTCAAAGTAAAAGGGGCTTAACTCTGCCAAAACTCATCTAACCATGACCAAATTCAAACTTGACCTGTATTTTCTCATGACATATCCATATGTCAAATTTGAGTTGAATGTGTGCAAGCAACCATTACTAAGATAATGAACAGAAACTGATGATGACGGAATGACAGAATGACGGAAGGACTGAATGACGGAACAGAGTAACACTATATGCCCCGGCCATTATATGGCGGGGGCATAAAAATACATTAGCAGATAAATTACATAAAATAAACATTGCTGTCATGATAGCGCAATGCTTCTTCGTAAGTTTTACCCTTTCCATAAATGATTATGTTGTCTGCGATCGTTTTCATACCCGGTAGCCCTTCCAAATTCCTTTCCAGGTATTGTTGAAAGTACTCTGGTGCTGGTGAAATACCAAATGGCATAACAAGCCAGCGATAACGTCCGAATGGCATTTCAAATGTTGTCAAATAGCTTGACTGTTCATCTAGCTCCAAATGATGAAAAGCAATTTTTACATCGCATTTTGAAAGTATTTTTGCACAATTAAGTTCAGACAACACATCTTTAACCACTGGTAGCAGAAAATGACTTCTTTTCAAAGCAGTGTTCAAAAAATTTTGATCTATACATATTCTAAGCGCATTTGATCTTTTCTTCACAATTACTAAACTTGATATCCAGTCTGTTGGAGTGTTAACTTTTGTTATTTTGACCTTGTTCTCAAGTTTTATTAGTTCTTTTTTAAGTTTTTCTTTCATTGCAATAGGAAACCTTCTGAGTGGCATTTTCACAGGTTTCACTGTATTATCAAATTCCAAGTGTAGTTTTCCCCGAAATCGTCCTTCGCCCATATCTCGTTTCAATTTCTTCCATAGTTAATTTAGAGTTCTTATCAACACAGACGGGACAAATGTTATGAAATTGTATCTTAATTAAATCCATTTTCTGAATTGCCTCAGATCCTAATAACGGAACAGCCGTATCATTTTCAATTACGATAAACCGCACCTCATATCGTTTTCTTGTCCTGGGATTTTTCAAAACTAATTTGCACGTACCACAAGCTTTCATTTTTGATTTGTCATACATTGATAACGTAATGTTAGTTTTCTCCATTATCTCGTCTGGCACGTACAACCTTGGTAAAATATTTGCTGTAGCTCCGCTGTCTAATTGAAATCTCACAGTTTTGTTTTGATTAATTAATAACATGTTTGCGAAAATTTTCGACTGCACCTTTTGATTTTGATTCAACATCAAAACGTCCTCTTCACTTCCTGACGATGAGCTCAAATTTAAATGTCTCACATGTGGTCTTTCTGATTTCACTTTGTGATGTATACGCGATTTGCATTCCAAAGCAAAATGATTAAATTTGCCACAAGACCTGCATTTTTGTCCAAAAGCCGGACACAAGTTTTTCCATAATATTTGCACTTTTTCTTTTTTATTTGATCAGTTTTGGCAAGCAGTTGTTTGCGTTTTGGCTTTAAGACTTGCACATCTTCGCCTGAAGATGCATGTTTAGACAACGACTTTACTTTTGAGGATGATGCTTCTGCTGCTCTGCACATGTCTATGCATTTATCTAGGGTCAATTTATCATCCTGTAGTAATTGTTTTCGTAACCCATTATCTCGAATTCCCAGAACTAGCCTATCCGTTATTAATTCATTCTCTAAGTCACCATAGCTGCATGTTCTTGCAAATTTCCTTACTTTACTAAGATAAGTGTCGAATGTTTCTGTCTCACCTTGCACGCACGTGTGAAAGACGTAACGTTCGAATGTCACGTTGGTTTTGCCAACACAGAACGTTTCGAATTTATCGATGACAATGTCGATATCGTCCTTGTCTGTTTCATTTGCAAAGTCAAACCCGTCGAATATATCCATTGCTTCAGACCCTATGCATGTTAAAAATGTTGCTGCTCTTAGATCCTTTGGTTTCAAATTAAGTCCAGACGCCTTCTCATAATTAATCCAGCCACGTCTGAATTTTTTCCAGTTTGTTGATACATTTCCGTCTAAATCCAATTTCTGCGGGAATGGAATCAACGACGGCACAGCATTTGATGGGTGTGCAGCGGGTGATGGCGGTTCGGCCTGTTCATCGGCACTCATAATTGTGCTGATATGTCCAAATATTAAACTTTTGCACGTAAATTAAAAGATTAATAAATCCACCACTACACGAATTATGCTTTAAGAAAATGGTCGCATTTAGTCCTTTTTGCGTATATGAGCAGTCTTATACTTCTGACACCATGTTTCTTGGTACAGGTAAGAACACAAACGTGCGTTTATATATTTTATTAAGCTATTCACAGAGCTAATACATAGAGCAGAGTCTGTTTATTACTGAGCATGCGCAGTTAACATTATAACTAAAGCATCATGGAAATGTAGAATGTAGAATTTGGTGTTGAGAGATCTCATACGTCTAAGCAATTTTGTGACAGAAGTGAATGGTTTTGAATAAATTTCTTAAAATGGGCTAAGGGAATCAGAATAGAGTTAGTGTTTATCAATTGTGGATTGAATAAGCTATGCAACCCAGTATAGTTTGCGGAAATTTTTTATTTAATTAGTGGAAAATCTCGCATGAATTTGTGGGTGATCAAAAATTCTCTATTTACCGAGTAATGCCCCTTGTCTATATATTTTTATACATATTATAAGGTTATGACTAAAATCTCATTTTAAGGTCACCATGAAGCAGTACACCATCCAAACACTGTGTGGGCCCCTGTGATTTATGCAGTAATACAAATTTAGGAATGTCAGACGTTTCACTCCCAAGACGTTTCACTATTGAGACATTTCACTCCCAAGACGGTTCACACCTAGACGTTTCACTCCCATTTTGTCAATTGTATGGACGTTTCACTCCCAATTTTTAGAGATGATTACCCCAATTTTTAGAGATGATTACTAGGAAAGTTAAAAAATCTTAATTTCATTAATATCAAACAGTGTAAAAAGGAAACTCAATTTAATGTTTTATTTTATTGATTTCAATGGTATTGTTAATACAAATTATTAGAAGATTACTCATTTAATTATGGGTTGAGTGATAAGAGGTGTAAATGAAAGACAAATTTCTGAAATATCACTTTTATTATAAGTGTAACAACATGAGAAAATTCTATTTATAGTAAATTAAAAAAAAATAGAATAACATAGAAAGAATAACAAAGACATGTTATTAGTATCAGTTTAAATATTGAAATCACTACCAGTAAAGTAATTAATATTATTCAAATAATACAAAATATCAGTATATTAAATATATCGACTGTATAATGATTATTTTTTGTAAGTGTTAAACAATGAAATGTGAAACATGTGTATAAAATAAATTATTTTTTAAAATTATTTTCTTCATCAATTTATTAAACAGTAGCCATTAAACAAACTTAAGTAATTGTGGTGTTATCTCATCGCCTAATTTGTTGTATAAACACTGAGACCATCAATTAACAGTTTGACACCACTATTAAATCAGTTGTACAACACTGCACTTAAGCATCAATAGTTTACTAATCAGTTGTTTATTGGACCATTAAAATATTTTTTGACAACAGCCAATTTTAACACAGAAACTTCTCCATACGTTTTGTTTATATAATAATGAATTTTAAGTCACAAAAAATGATTATCAAGACAAATATTGAAAAAGTCCCAATGCTTCTAATTTAATTTAAAGAAATTTCTGATTTCAATGGCCATTAAAATTTTTGACATATATCACAAAACCACTATACTAGCATTTATTTAACAATTTTATCCCATGTTTAAAATTAACAACAAAAAGCATGTTACTCAAAGTTAATTGTTGTCACAAGATTGTTATGCTTTAAATCAAAACTGCCTATTGAGTCCATATTTACAAAAGATCAAATAGTTAGTTATATTAAAGTGTTATTTTAATCAAAAATATTTTTTCTTTAAGTGAAATAATGTGATAATTGCACATACGGACCAAAGAATAGAAAAACACCTTATTTCAAAACAACAATAAAAGAAGATAAGATAACTGAAATGATAGAACTTTAAGTACTGAGTTTTAAGTCATTGACAAAAAAGTGAAATCCCCTTTTTAATATATTTTTATTAAATTTTATTTTAGTTCAATTCAATTCAACATGTTAGGTCTTTTTTAGTATATCATAAGTATCAAAATAATTTTGGTATAAAAAGGGAGTGAAACGTCTTGGTGTGAACCGTCTTGGTGTGAACCGTCTCAATAGTGAAACGTCTGTCTACCCAAATTTACCTTCCAATAATGGCCACTTTCGCATTCTTTTTGTCTACGTCTTCCATTTCAAACGGATCACTTTCGCTGACAACTTTTCTTAATCAGTATATTTTCTAGAATTTCAAGTTCATATAGTTTTTTTATTTACTATTTTCCTGAACGGTGACAGCATTACAACCATCTCGTTCATTGAGTCCGTGTATAAGGTTCTCGAGTACTAAATTTTTTAATTATATATTTTAGTCACACACTCATAGTCTCTGAAAGTAAAAAGCCAAGCTGTCATTGAATATAACAAAATAATAATAATAAAAGTAAGTTAATCTACTTAAAACACACTGCATGATACAAAGGACATCAAATCGATCTTCCATTTAAGCTTTCATTTGAAATTATCTTGTATGTCGATTACCCGAATTTATTATTTAGAAATTCGATATCTGATCAATGTGTATCATAGTTTGGGGACCTTTCTGTTGAAAATTTGTCCGAGTTAAATCTGCACAGTGCGTTAAGAGTGCAGGTATTAGTTACCCGCACTCCAGAGCATGCCCATTGATTGGTTAATTTTTGCTGGGGTTTACTTATTGTGACGGCAGAGAAACGGAAAGCGACAGAAATATCATATTCAGATGCTCGTTCATTGGTTACTTTTTTTCCGGGGTTTCATATTGCGGCAACAGGGAAAGTGTTTTATGTTTGACTATATATGATACAAAAGAGAAAGAACATCAAAACACACTCGGCAATCTGATTAATACTCGGGGACTACGCCCCCTCGTACAAATCAGATAGCCTCGTGTTTCGATGCTTTTTCTATTACATGTACATACTACATGTATACATGTAGCTTCTTTGAGCTTATGTATACCGTGTAAATCAAAAACAGGATTTTGAATTTAAACAATTACTTTTAGTTTATACGAATTTATTTTAGTTTGATTTAGTTGAAACTTATTGTAAAATACTCTTTAAACCAATTAAAGGCCTACATGCATATATTACAGGCCGTTAATCATGTTTTAAAGATGCTGTAACTCAAGATTAATCAATATTGTAATTTCCCAAACCATTATTTGTAAATATATTACCGAATTTACATTTCATGTTAATAAAGGGAGGTAATTATATGTTTATTTTCTATAAAATCTAAGTCAAATAAGAAATGAACGCATGTATTTTAATTATCACATTTAATGTTGACAGATATTTGCAGAACATATTTTACACATTCTTCAATGTTTGAAAATTGTTTTAGAAGTATAATTATATATACATATATAAAATTAAGTGATTAAAGATTCAGTACGCATAATATAGTTTTAATACAAATCGTTCATTTAATATCCTTTATTTAGTTTTTTCTACAAATAGCAAATCATCATCATCATATAATATCATCATCATCATCATCACTATCACCATCAACAATGCTAGATTATTATTATTATTATTATTATTATTATTATTTGATATCGTTAGTAATAATTTAATTGCAGCCAATATTAATCCATATTAGAATAACATTATGTTGCTTTGACGCCATGACGTCACAGTAAAAAAGGGACCAACCACATCCGCAGGAAGTCCAAATGCGCGTATATAGACCGTAACCAAGGGATGTGACGTCGCAACAACGCGGTTGATCTACCCGTGAAATGCTATCGATTTTCTCTGTAACCCGAGACACTACATAAGTCGTATGTATACAGCAAGTATATAACAAACGATCTGATCGAGGTTCATTTGATTTGATTAGCAACGGAACATTTTTCCGAGGGATTTTCTGTAATGTCTTCTGCAGTGTCGGATAAATCCCACGGAAAGGCAATGAGTGACCCTGAGCATATGCATCCACATCATTATGAATTTAATCAAAGTCCACGGACAATTAATTGGGAAAGATTGGAATATATGCGCCTGAGAAAGTTAAAACTTGGACCCGAGAGGTACTCGCGTCACTTTTCCAGATTCCAGGGACCCATGGAGAAGACAAGTGGTTCGATAACGGACCAGCAGGGACAACCAACACATTATGTTATAACTAAATCTGGCGAAATTAGGAAATCGAACTCTATGGCACCCTTTTCAACCGTCGGAAAGCCAACTTGTGGATTTTTCTTCACCCGTAACACAGACAACAAGAAAAAGAAGATTGGAATTCCAGCAACAAATCTGGTAAAATGGAGATCTTTTGTACAGTAACATTTATGTCGACTTGATGATTTACATTTGGATCTGTTTTATGGATTTTATTTGCCATTTACTTGGATACAGCAGAAAGTAAGAATTAGATGATTCTATATTTCATATCAAAGATTAAACTTCAATTCATATACAAAACGCTTAGTGATGTCGACAGATCAACAAAATCTTAACAAAGACACAGACTTTTGCTGTAATTTAAACAAGAAGGAACTTTGGAAAATTGGAAACAACATTCAGCAGTTGATTCACATTATACAAAATAAAAATGACAGTTGAAATATGGAATCCAGTGATGAACTTATGTTGTTGATAGTTTAGTTTTATTGTTATAATCTTTTATTTCTGAACAGTATTATTTTTTCTGGGTGCTCCAGTCTTTGCTTTGTGAATAATGCTCAAACACTGCTTTTTACTATCTATTCTGATAAAAACTGTAACAAAAAACCGCTGCCCGTGTAATATTCTAGTTGGACACATTTGTCAAAGAAAATACTTCACTGGCATGTATTTACAGTCATAAGATGTTTAAGAAGGCACGCACTCACACTGTCAATTGTTATTCTAGATCAACCATTTTAAATAGTATTTTATCATGTTGATTTTTTTTTATATTTGTTGTTATCGTGCAGTATTTTGACACAATGTTTTTCTTCCTTTCATATTAAACATATATATCTGTTAGCAGTATAAAGTCATTATTTGTTCAAGTTATCAGGTTCATATTGTAAAGACATGTTTTATACATTTATAAGCTTATTTCTCATTGCAATATTGAATAAACCATTTGTCATTAATCCATATCTTACTCTAGTTAATCTTTTGTTCGAGTTTAAATGCTCCAAAATCGATTTGGTATATTATGATTATTACAATGTAGGGTTAAAAATAAAATAGTTAAACCTTATAGATTTATACACACGTCCTTTAATATGAATGTGGTTAAAGGTTGTGTACATGTAATCGAAATCCTGTTTCAATTTTGATAACTGAATTTTGTTGTTGAGTCCATTACGTCATTTACGTTAGTACTGAGTTACGACTCTTATATGATCTAGTACTGAGTTACGAGTTTTATATGATCTAGTTTAGTTTAAACATATTTGCATTAAATACATGCTTAAATTACAAACATATTATACAAATGATGAGTATACAGTATATCAAAATGCAAATGGGTCGGGCAACATGTTCTTACAACATTCTTTTATGATCTGTTTGGATTTATAAATGATGGACCACTAATCATTTATCACTTGACTATGAAACGTTTTTAAATTATACCCCAAAAAATCTCTGCGGAAGAATATACTATGGGATATTTCTTTTAGTATAAAATTATCAGAAATATGACTTACGATGTTAATAAGGCAAAGTAGCGTAGTCTCTATGCACGTAGATTTTGTTTTGATAGGTGATGTATCATTTTTGTCATGTAACAAAAACTGTAAAATTGTTCTATTCAGGAAACAAAACAATGGACTTTCGAGTTTTCTCAAATACAACAAAGTGATATAAATATACTATTGGCAAACGTTATGGAAACAATCTATAATAACAATTGTATACATGTATATTGGCATGTGAAGAACAGTTTTGACATCGTAAAACTGAATGTGTTAAACACATGTGGTTTGTTTTTTTAATTTTGCCAATAGTGGTAAATAAAAGGAACATATATTAAGTCTACATGTACAACATTTAAGATATTACGAAAACCGCACGTACCAAATTACTAACAGTACATCGTTTTTCTAATATATTTTCTATAAGATAGGCCTGGGAATACTATATATATAGAGTCGTGTCAGCAATCTCTGCATTGTTAGCAGTTAGTTTTAGATATTTTGATATACAAATGTACAATGAAAAGCTCAGTGGTGAAAGTGGTAATCTCATGTATACATGCTTCAGCAGATCGCAACATTAGACAAGACAATATATAATCTATATAATATCGATCTCCCTATTGTATAATCTAATCCCACAGCTACTTTAATTATTCAAAGACCAATCAATACGGCTAATTAGTTAAACTCTTTTACTTAAAAGGACGAGTCTATAGAACGTTGTCTCATTCTATGCGTAAAATTTTAATTACCTTTATACATAGTGATTCAATCAACATACTTGAATCTTCGATCCAAGATTCATTAAGTAAAGAAAAGAAACAAGCAAGCTATGTAACGCTGTTGTAAAAAGTTATGAAATTTTTCAATCGGAGACTACCTCTGGTTAAAGATCATATCATTGTATATTTCAAAACCTGCCTTTATAGGCCAATATTAATTACCTCCTTACAGTGCCGCTGACTCACCATGCAAATGTTAATTTAAGACACAATGTTTTATATTAGAGACCGTAATTTTATTTTATAATTTATTTCTGAATGTTTATGAGTTAGCCTGTATATAAAGCTGGATTATCTCACGTAATTTAGTTTTAACAACCTGATTAAAGTTTGGCTATTTACATATTCTTCTCGTACAAGATTTAAACTTTTTGGCTCCTGTCGTAAATGGATTGCCAGTTTCATTACAAAACAAAACAAAGTTCCAATCCTTAAATCAATACGATTTAAGTTTAATCCACTTACGAGTACATATGCAAATCCTGTTAGTGCGTTGCCAATATTCAGGTATGTGTTTTATTGAAAGATAAAATCGAACAATTAAAGAAGTTGGCTCATAGCTTACGTTTGTATTGATTGTTGATTTACCGCGCGTTCTGGGTACATAACCTGTCGTGCATAACCAGTAGTAATAGAAATACTTAATTGGCTTTAAAGTTTATCCCTCCCTTTGCATTTTCAGATGTATATATAATATAAATGTTTCTTTGCTTCAAATGAAATTATAAAAGATAAGATTCAATCCAATGCCTTCATTTCTGAAACATTTTTACACTTATATGACAAATATTTCATGACCCATGCTTCCAACTTTTGCATGAATTATTTACAAAAATTAAACATTTAAAGTAAAGATGGATTGATTTGATTATTTTAAAAATATTATACTATATTTACATTAAATTATTATCATATTTCAACTTATCAGAATCTTAATTTGATGAGAATGTTGTTTGTGTATTATCGATTATAACAACACTATCCCTGGTTATTATAAAGGTAAATATGTCTAGGGCGAGGCTCATCAAATACATTTATTTTAATGTATGAAGTTAAACTCACTACAGCCTGATTATTCAAATGTATTCTTAAACCACTGTTTGTCTTTTATAAATACCCTCACTTTGTTATTTCAAAACTTTACAGTCTAGACTGAACCTCTTATTCCTTGTAGATTGAGTGTATAGCTGAATTGAAAAATAACATATAAAACGCCTTCAATTTAATTTATAGGCTTTCACTTTCAGACTAAATAAACATAAAAATCAAACAAACGTAGTTTTTATAAGGACATATTTGACATGTAAATACTAGCTTAGTTATTTATTACAATGTTATTTGTTGTATCAGTGACTTGATACAACGTTTTGTGAAAAATAAACACTATTTGGCACTTGGCACTATCGTAGACAAACACTCTACCAGTGCTTTAACTCTCGTCCTTGTGGTAACAAGATTTGTATAGAATGAAATTAAAATCATTACTTGTGGGTTTTATCTTAAAATTTGGGATTCATTATGATTATTTTTTTGGGGGAGGGGTTTGATAGTAGAATCTTTGATACAATCAGTTATACTAACCGGGTGTTTAATGTGTAGTTCATTCTTACAACAGTTTTTTATGAATATATTAAATAAAGTCTTATATCACTTGAATTTACAATTTTAAGCAAACTGTTGAAATCCCTATATATACATAAGTATCACAGCGCCCCTACGAAACAGCTATGTTGGCTGAATTCTATAACACTTACACAAAAAGAAAACAAGCTTAATTCACTTAAATTCGTCTTGTTGCGCATCACCTTGTCGCCAAGCAAAACGACAACAAAATGAAAAGCACGATACGGAAATAACAAGAAAAGCCCCTACAGACAACACGAAAAGAAAACGACAAGAAAAGATACCGTACGGCAAGACGAAAAGTCAAGAAAGCGCCTTTGGGCAACGCGAAAAGACAAAAAGAAAAACGCCGAGCGACAACACGAAAATGATAGCAAGAAATGTTCCGAGCGGCGACAACACAAAAAAAGACAACAAAAATGCGCCAGAGGTCAACACGAAAATAACGACAACAAGAGAAGCGCCGAGCTACAACACGAACACGACAGCAAGAAAAGCGCCGAGCGACAAGACGAAAAGACGACAACAAAAAAAGCGCCGGTGGTCAACACAAATAAAAAAGACAACAAAAAAAGCACCGAGCGACAATACGAAGACGATTACAAGAAAAGAGTCTTAAAACAAGACGACAAGACGACAGCAAGAAAAATGCCGACCGACAACACGCAAAGATGATAGCAAGGAAAGCGCCGAGCAGGGATTATTGTCGAAAATACAACAAGAAAGTGATAGAAATTAACTACCGACATTGAATGAAATATATATATGTAGTGACCCTCTGTGAACCTGTACCAAGTGATATGTGAATGAAATAATATAAAAGTTCTTTAATATTTACCATGCGACGACCGCCTTTCAATGGCTTAGAAGTCAATTCATTCACATGTAATTTATTTCTTTACACGACAAATTTGTAAAAGGTTCCGTATATGAAATCACTTTACCGGTTTATAATAGTAAACGGCTTTAATCAATACAAATTGAATTTCTTTATAAAGGAACATTACATAAATTGGGGAAACTTTAATTAAAGGCACAATAGCAGTTATACTTCTTTACAAAACTTGATGACACTATTGTGTACATGTTCTTATAGATATCTCGATCTTGGTTAATTCTGACGGTAGGTGTACATTAGAAATTTGTTATAAATTAAAACGTTCAAAGACCTAGTTAAAATTCATAATAGAAGAAAGTATAGATGAATTCTTTCTTTATATTGGATTTTCCAAACAGAAATATCCCTCTTTTTGTAAAACGCAGGCATTTAAAGATCCTGTATGTTGTAATTAAGGTTGTGTGAAATTTTATATATGTATTCATGTATAATTCTGCTTCTAAAACAATTTTCAAACATCGAAGAATATGTAAACTATGTACTGCAAATATTTGTCCACATTAATAATCATTGAAATATATATATGCATTAATTTCTTACTTAGACTTTATCTCGTTGAGAAACACTTCTATATAGAGATTTTGTTAAAGTTTCGAAATCTACCTTTCTCATGATAAATATAAACTAATCATTATCTCTATTTCCATTATCTTAGCGGTATGTTTGTAAGTGTTTTTACGTTGTAGATGATCTATTGAAGTGTACGTTATGTTCAGATAAACACAGAGCATAGTGCATTGTACAAATTGTTCTTTAAATACAAACATTTTCTTACAATACGACTATATATACACTGATTTTATAAACTTTGCGTATACAGAACGACATTTTTTTATCATTATTGGACAATTTATCTCCCCGATTATTCAATAATGTTTGATGTACATACATAAAGTAAGGAAACATTTTGTGTAAATAACTGCAAATCGGCTCTTACTCGACAGAAATTAGTGTAGCCGCTTTTTCATGAAGAAACCAGTGCTGATAGTGAAAATTGTGATTGGCATATTTTAATTAGCCAGGTCAGGTGTTTCTAAAAAGGCTGATAACACTGTAGCAATGTGAGGATACATTCAAATTTATTACATAGATTATATACTGGAGCTCAGCTCGCAGAGACAAATGAGAACACAGTAACTTTTTGATATCCTTTTAACTCTAAGAAAAATGTTAATTATTAATTGCTGACTGTTTATATTTTCTCGAAAAAGTAAGCAAAACATTATTTTGTTTCAAATGACAGGAATGAATTGCATTAACAATCCTAGGTATTGTTGAAAACTCATTGTTTTACAATCCAGAATAAGTAATTGGACCCCATCCTTGTTAGTACGTGACTGCTTGGGAAAAATTATGTTATGCTTAATTAAAGAGGTGACACTTTCTATATTTTTTATCTGATATCGAGTTGTAAGAGCCGATTTGCAGTTATATTGGTAAGAGTTCGATAAGACTCCCTACGGTCGTCTTAATACGAACTCTTACCCATACTTAACCATCTTGGTAGATGGAAGTAGTATTCCAGCCAAATTACTTTAGAGAGATTTATGTATGGGTTAGAGTTCGTATTAAGACGACCGTAGGGAGTCTTATCGAACTCTTACCCATATAACTGCAAATCGGCTCTTACAACTCGATATCAGATAAAAATATAGAAAGTGCCACCTCTTTAATTAAGCATAACATTTTTTTCCCCAGCAGTCACGTACAAACAAGGATGGGGTCCAATTACTAAATCTGGCATGGAAAACAATGAGTTTTAAACAATACCTAGGATTGTTAATGCAATTCATTCCTGTCATTTGAAACAAAATAATGTTTTGCTTACTTTTTCTAGAAAATATAAACAGTCAGCAATTAATAATTGATATTTTTCTTAGAGTTAAAAGGGTATCAAAATGTTACCGTCTTCTCTGCGAGCTGAGCTCCACGTGCATTATCTATGTAATAAATTTGAATGCATCCTCACATTGCTACAGTGTTATCAGCCTTTTTAGAAAATCCTGACCTGGCTAATTAAAATATGCCAATCACAATTTTCAATATCAGCACTGTTTTCTTCATGAAATAGCGGCTACACTAATTACTGCCGAGTAAGAGCCGATTTGCAGTTATTTTGTCTTATTAACAAATATCGCTGTCAAACGTCTCTCACACTTTGTACCAGCCCACTTCATGCCACTTCTTTCCTATACATCTAGTTTTTGCGTTTTGCCGATTGTCTTAGTACGTATTGTGACCACGTGTGCAGAATTATTTTAAAAACATTTCAACAATTTTATATAAGTTATCAGCTGACATGTAGATGTTAAAAAGGACAGACAGATGGAATTTGTATGCACTTTAAGGAACTATTCGTTCTCATTTCTTACAAAGCAGTGAGGAAGGAACGGACAAATAAACATATTTCACCTTTAAGAAATTTATGTGTATGTGAAATGTTTGGTTTCTCTTGTTTAGACTGAGTCACTTTACTTATATTGGTGAAATAACAGACAAAGCAATTTTGCAACAACAATACATTTGAAATATTGACATTACACGAATTTACAAAATACCATCTTATGCAATGTTTAATATCATACATATTTATTAGTAAATATACTCAAGTCCATAAAAATGTCTTCATTCTTTCTTTTTTTTTCTTTTTTGAAACCGTGTTAACTTCTTTTAGCACGGATGTCAAATTTTGAATTGTAGAACGGGGTTAAAAACGAAGAATAAATAGGTTACTTATTAAACACCTTTTATGACAAAGTCCGGGTATTACAAGGAACACATTGTATTTACTGAAGCAACAGTGACGTTAATTACACATATTTGTATCTGTTGAAACGGTCATTCTATATATCAAACTTGATGAGACCAGCCCATCAGTCCATAACAACTCCTAACCCTGAAGTTTCTGGTCGAAGTGCCATTCTCCGTGTCCGCTTCCTAGACGTGTTAATGTGGTCACGTGATCGCTGATTTCCTTAATCGATTCAACTTGTTCGTTCAGAAATTCTTCTTCGATGAAATCGCTCATCTGTTAGTAAAATAACAATTACACAAATTAACGAGACAGCTATAACAAGGGAGACAAATCAGAAATGTTTCCTAAAGTATATGTATTAATTACTTCCCATTAATAGTCAGCAAAATCTCAACCTATTGGCTTTGCTTTATCTATCATACACAATGCAGTGATTTACCTGATCGATAAAACTGATGCAAGCAAATGTCAAGACAAACCAACGATCATATGTCTATTGAAAAAAAATCTCTTCTTGTAAAGTAGTGCAATTATTACTTGTGTAATATATTTGCGGTTTATTATAAAAGTACATTTATACTGTATGAGACAAAAAAAGAATAACGACGAACCTGTGCATCGCCATGACCACTGGCAACATTGTGAAGGTCGATAAGCGCCTGGTTCACGGTCTTTTCTAGTTGTAACGCCGCTTTCATCGCATCAAGGCCTGATCCCCACTCGTCACGGTCCGGCTTCTGTTAATAATTATAGTTGAAAATATTATATTAGGTGAGAGATAATATCTCACACACTTACTGCTCATCTAAAAATAATTCTTAACAATATACAGTACATGTATTTGTATTAATTCCAAATGACAAAAATAACCATTATACTGAAAATAATATACGTTTATCCATGGAAAGTAGTCACAAAGGTCAAACTTGTATGGAAGAAGGTAAAACACAACTCCTGTATTTGAATGAAAATATTTCACTAATTTAAAGCCATAAAGCATGTAAAAAGTTTCTAGAAAAAAAAACATCATGTATGGGTGGAAAACCAGCCACAAATGGACGCCTCTGATCCTATCCCGTGCATCTTCTGTTAAATTTTGATATTGATTGGAATACTCTGAACTGCATGTGTACCCTTAATAAGGACTTGGATAAGAACAATTGTTGTCTGTTCTACATTATTCTTGTTCAACATTATACGAGTACGTGGGGGATCTTCTAAAGATGTCAGACGTTTGATGAAACCGTAACCTCGACCCTGCAAATGACACATGGCCAGTTTCCAGCCTTCACTAGTGGAGAAAGACCTAAGATGCCTCTCCGTGCATAATTTTAGGCACATGAGGGCACCCAAGTAGAACCACCAACCTTCTGTAACAAGAGCTGTCCGTAAGACAGCGCGCTCGACTTTTTTATTGCTTGCCAATAAAAAAAGTTTTTGCAGTAAAAGGCAATACAAGAATCTCTGTATTTTTAAAGTGAACAATGGCCATGAGCATTAAGATATTTAGTGAAGAATTATTTTACTGAATTGTGTGATACCCTTGAACACTGCAGCAAAGTTTGAAATGTTTAAGTCAAAAGAGGGCTGGTAAGAAAGAAAAAAAAACTGAGTTGAGCCTTAAATAAATTTAATAGTATTAAACCCACTTTGAGAGAATAAGGTATTTTTACGTCACTCAGAACACCTTGGTAAATGACATAATAACATAATTTTTCAAGAAATCTATGCCAAGGAAGCAGTATATTTTTGTACAATCAGCATAATATATAGATTTGACTTTGTATGTGAAAGTATTATAGTTACCTTATAATACAAGTAATAGATAAATTTTATCAAGCTTTTTTAGATGTTGTCAGTTGGTCACAAGTGGATCTCTTTCACACAGGCTGTGGGTGACTGGTTACTTTTCGTGGGTCCACTATGTAGATAATGCGTTGTAAACTGATATTTGAATTACATGAAGGAAGTTCAATTCATTATTTAATGCCGGGGCGAGTAGGATAGCTCCCCTTTTCATAGAAAAGTCGAGCTAAAAAGTGGACTGGTACTAAAAACTTAACCAAGATTCTAAGTCGATAAAAGGCCTTAATTTTTAAAACAAATCCTTGACAGAGTTACCTTCTCTTGCGTACAGATGGGGGTAATGATGTGAAATAGCATTAAAAGTTTCAAAGCAATATCTCAAAGGGTTAAGGCAATAAGTGGATTTTACCCATATTCAATGTATTTTCTAAGTCAAAAAGGGGCATAATTCTGTCAAAAACCTTGACAGAGTTATGTCCTCTTGTCTGTTGATGAAGGTCGTGATGGTAAACAAGTATGGTCAGTTTCAAAGCAATACCTCCAATGGTTTTGAAATAAAGTGAGGTGGTACAAAAAACTTAACCAAGCTCAATACACTTTCTAAGTCAAAAAAGGGCCATAATTCTGTCAAAAACCTTGACAGAGTTATGTACTCTTTGTCTGTAGATGGAGGTTATGATGGTGAACAAGTATGGTAAGTTTCAAAGCCATACTTGTAATACTTCTGAAATAAAGTGGGGTGGTACGAAAAACTTAACCAAGGTGTGACGCCAACGCCGACGCCGACGCCGGGGCGAGTAGGATAGCTCCCCTTTTCATAGAAAAGTCGAGCTAAAAACATGTCCATCTTTCAATCGAAGCATAACTATTCATCATTTTTAGGTAAAATTTCAAAATATGTACGGATAGAATATAGCACAGGGCAGATCATGATCAGGCGACATATATGTGCCGGCTAATCTTCGTATGCACTGGTCGCACGGGTAGAAGCTGTTTCCGACAGCATGCTAAGAGTTAAAGAATCAAATATCCCTCGCTGGATTCGAACACATGACGGCATTGGACAAGTTGTTTTCACAGACATAGACAATGATGAAAAATGGTCCGAATATACAAAAACTGATTAATTCTGAATGAGCAATGTGGACAATTCGCCACAAGTAATGGCGCTAAATCATATGTTAGTTATATACTGACTTGTATAGCTTGTAGAACAACACGGCCACCTCGTTTATTCTGATACTTCATCAGTTTTTCTGCATGTTCCCTCTCCTCGTCTGCCGAATGTTTGAAAAATTTCGAGAATCCCGGCAGCGCTACGTCATCTCTGTCAAAATAGTATGCCTAAAATAAAAAAAAAATAAGCCGCACTATGACAAAACCAACATAGTGCGTTTGCGACCATTATGGATCCAGACCAGCCTGCGCATCCGCGCAGTCTGATCAGGATCCATGCTGTTCGCTATCAGTTTCTCTACTTGTAATAGGGTTGGTAAGCGACCAGCATGGATCCTGATCAGACTGCGCGGCTCAAATATTTATGTCATGATTTATACTTGGGATAGTTAAACATATTTAGTGGCTAAAATATATCTGGTGGCTAAAATATATCTAGGAGAATGGATTTTACAAATAATGATAATGACAGTTTCGTTCAGATATTGACTTGAATGGGAAGTGGTCAGATGATGGTTTAAGACATTAGAATGCCAGATCTTACGTTTGTAGAAATCGATCAAATGACCTTCAGTTGTCCACATAATTGATTTGTAATCAGTCGCGTAACAACGTACATTATTAGTTATAAAGATCGTTGACTGGTTATATGGCCCTATATAAACGGCTATTTGTAAATATAACCCGAGCCGTTAGGCGAGGGTTATATTGCAAACAGCCGTTTATATACGGTAATATAACCTGTCAACAATCTTTATAACGAATTTATAATACAGCAAGCATCATTTTTAGAGAAAAAAAGTAAGATTTCTTCATGAATCGACAGCAGCCGTGTATATAAAACTATATAAACGTCACGATTATCCAATGAAAAATGACGTTACAAACGTGCAGTATTATAAGTATGTCTATAAAGGTCGCTGGACAGTTAATAGTTCAACGTTAATAAAAGGAAAACTATAAAACGTAGTAATAACAGAATTAACTGGTTAAACATTTGACTGGTTTGGTTAACGTTGAGTCATTTTTATTCTATTTTTTTATAATATTACGAAATGTTTTAACTGTCTCTACATATTTTCTCCTAAATATAGCAATATACTATACAGCAGATCTACTGATAAGGAAAAAGAAAATTCACCTTCAAGGTCACAATTTCAAAGTCACTTTTAAAGTACATAGACTGCACAATAAAATGTGAAGGCTATTTATTTCCTCGTGAGATTTGATACAATCTATTTTGTGTAGAAAATGTGGTGAATTACTGGTTACCGGAAAGCGTAATTAATTCAGATATATATCTAAACCTAAATATAGCACAGTGCGTGCAGATGTATAAAAATATTCTCATTTAAATATACATCTTTTACAGTCAACACCTAACTTAACATATAAAATTTTAAAGATTCTGCGCATTCTGCAGTTCAAGTAAACAAGCTATATCACGTATAACCACAATTACTTCCGTGTTTTGATGTACATGTATGACAAAAATATACATGTTTGTACATATAATACATACATGTACACTATTTCTCAATAATAACAAGGTACTCTTACCATTGATTGATAGACATAACTGGCATATAATTCCATGTTAATCTGTTTGTTTAATCCAGCTTCACTCTCCTGGTGAAAATTTTGGCGAGGTCTTGATTCAGCCATGTTATCGTTACTTTGTGTCCTTCCTTCTTTCGTTCACTGACGCACTAAGGATAAAATTCCGGTTCGTTTGTGCCCTTTCTTTGTATTGGATACGCTCCACTGTACTGAAGGCAAATAAAATCGATATCTGTTATGCAGTAGAGGCCTATCTTAGGTCATTTATAGCCGCGTTGATTTAAGTCGGTATACATACAAGAATATATTAAATGTTTATTAAGAAAACAAAAATGTTTCGTTGTTTTAATAACAATAATTCTTGATAAAAGAAGAAATGAGTAGTAGAAGTTTTTAATCATATTAATGTGCTAAACATTGACATAGAATATATAATGCTTAATATGAACTGATAATTCATATAAAATACGGAAATATCTTTACAAAGATATTACTTGGAAAAAATAATATTTTCATTTTGAATGATGATGAAAAAAAAGATTATTCAAAAAAATTATTTCGCAGTAACAATTCAGCATTGTTATGTATGACTTATCCTATATCAGCACTTGTTTAAAGTTAAGCACCCAGAGACTGACTTTAAAAGTATAACCTTTAAATTTATATATTTACAGTTGATTTATTTTGAATCGGTAATAGTGAGGAACAAAACTTGGGAATAAAACTTGAGCGATAAAAGTGAGGAACAAAACTTGAATAAAAAAGTGAGGAACAAAACTTGAGCGGTAATAGTGAGGAACAAAACTTGAGCGGTAATAGTGAGGAACAAAACTTGAGCGGTAAATGTGAGGAACAATTTAAAACTTGAGCGGTAATAGTGAGGAACAAAATTTGAGCGGTAATAGTGAGGAACCAAATTTGAGCGGTAAAAGTCAGGAACAAAATTTGAACGGTAATAGTGAGAAACTTAACTTGAGCGGTAATAGTGAGGAACAAAATTGAATTGTAACATTCAGAAACAAAATTGATTGGTAATCTTACAAGTTTAAATGTTTATTGAAAAGAACCAAATTGGAATGGTAATAGTTAAACCAAAATTTGAAAAAGTGAGGATCGAAAGAGGACTAGTGTACGTGGAATTGAATTTGAGTGTTACTATAAAGGGACAAATTCAAATGATAATTGTAATTAAAGAACTTAATTTTCTTAGTTATAGTGAGTTACAAATTTTCTTGGTGTCAGTCAGGAATTGAATTTGAATGGTAATAGTAAGGAACAAAAATTTGCTTAGTTATAATGATGAACCACGTGCAGTGAGGAACCACAAGAGTTCTTACGAGTACAATCATAATTATGGAGTAACTACAAAATTTAAAACGGTATTGAAGTCAACCGGAGCACACACTTCTTGCTGAAAAAGTTATATTTGAGAGAGAGAAAAAGTCTCTTTAAATGCTAAGGTCTGTTATTAATAGAAAAAATAAATTGGAATTTTGTAAAATTTAAAAATATTCAAAACGACTTCCGCAAGACAGATTGTGGCCTTCTAACGAAACTATCAAGAGAGGAATTGACAATTCTTAAAAAAATGGAACTGAGCTAAAAGAATAACAGGATATATTCGTATTTCTCATTTAGAAAAGCTAGGGAATCTGGTGACGGAATGCAGACATTTGGTCGAACAATTTCAGTCTGTATTTGATAGAATAACATGTCATTGCAGTCGTTTTGTTCTGTAAAATTGCACAATCTATGCATAATAATAATTTGAAATATTCATAAAAAAAACTTTTAGCGTTCTACACTAATAATAAATAAAAGGTGTTTTAAAAGTACTCTTTTCTTGTATTTCTAAAGCAGGGACGCTATTGAACTACGATATTTCTAGGCAAACGGACACGACCAATTCCAAAAAAAAAGTGATAGAAAATTGCGTGGTAAAAATGCAAAACACTTGGGGGGGATCACTAAAGAATACAAACATTAGAACGGAACTTTACCAAACCACGAGGATCGCAGGTCGGCAGCTTGCTGAATATTTTAACTAGGTCTATTTTCTAGGCCACTGTTCGACAATGGCTGTCTATAAGAAATGAGGCTCCATAGTTTATTAGTTACAATTAATGATCCTGTTGAATTTCCTACTCATTTGTACTGTTGACATCTCCATGATTTTGACATTGCCGTAGTGGAGACCGGTGCAAAGTGATATTATTTTCATTACTATTAGCTCGGTTCTTCTGTTACACAAGTCAATGTTTATTTGTTAGTTCCATTCTGGCTTAATGCATAAACATTACAAAAACTTATTGAGATTGTAGTCTAGAAAATATAAGTGGAGTTTTGCAAAATGATAAAATGTTACTGTATTGTTTAACACAATTGACGATGATGTTCAGAAATAACAAGAACTTGTGATTGGAAACCCAACAAAAAACCTCTGAAATTGGGCCATAACCTTTGACATATAATAAAAGCAAGGATACTTGTACAAGGGGGGATTGGGCGTAAAGCACTCGCATTAAATATTTGAGCTAAAAATGAATAAACATTTTTATGTTGCAACATTTATTTCTTTTTGTTAGTGATGTTTTAATAAAATACTGCATAAGAAAAATACAATATTTTTGCATATAATTATTCATCAAATATGCTGTTACAAGATTGGTGAGTAGTAATCTACATCTGCAGCAGGCAATTACATTTTCTGTAGCATGAAAATACAAACCGTAAAGTCACCTATTTTTTTACACCATTCTTAGAAATAGGAAAGTTTCTACTTTAACAATTGAGTCAATATATATTAAACACTAAGCAAACTTCTGTCAATTAAAAACAAATTCAAGGATGATACTTCTGAATGTCTAAATGACCTGATGATGTCTGTACTGACATTGTACAAGTTAAAAATAGAATAATCAATATATAAACATATCTTATATGAGAACAAATCAAAGAGATTTTTGAACCTTTAAAAAAAGACACTTGAAACAAAAAGCAACAATGCAGTTTGCCAAATGTTCAATTAATCTTTTATTTACCAACTAATAGTAATAATGTTAAAACTTTAGCAAAGAAGTTATTATACAAAGGATCTCAGTAAATCTATATCAAAATCATTTTAAAATGTTCCCTCAACATATTATTATTTTAAAACAAGAGCATCTATATCAAAACATAAAAACACAAATATTAAAAGGTATTCCCTGAGAAAAATACAATCACTAAATATGATATTCTGTGAATAAAACAGTTAAAGTGCAAGGATTAAAACAATTTTTCTACAATATACATGTATAAAAGAATTACAAACATAAACAGTCAAAGTAAAATATAATTATGCTACGAGTTTCATTTGTCAGCTATACATACATGCAAAATAACAAAAATTCTGTTCTATGAATTTCTGACTTTGTAGAACTGCTTTTCTCTGAGAGTATGAATCATGAGTACACAAATAAATGGATGATGTAATCAAAATTATTTTCTACAAATAATTTCACACAAGTTTGTATAAAATACTAGGTAAGACATTACTACTAATACTAGTCACTGACTGTCTGGGTAAGAAAGAATGTTTTGTTACAAATACTTATTGTGTAAAAATAAATCAACATCTCATTTACAAAATGAAAGCTAGAATAATATGCTTGAAAATAATAACAACTTATGTGACTGTCATTGTAATAATAGTGCAATCTCTTTATTTCACAGATATAGTAGTAAATTGTAAATAAGACATGCTCAAGCAAGCCGTTTTTTCACCATCTTCTTCTTGTAAGCATCAAAATCTTCCTGGTTCAGTTTATATCCCCAGTGTTGCAGTGTCTGACGGACGACTGGAGATACACCAGGGTTGTCAAAGGCACAGCCACTTTTTACACATTTAGAGATGAGATTGTTACGCCATCTACCAGTATCACCAGCACATCGTAACCAACGTCCAATCTGTCGTTCATCATCACCAGTCCTCCTACCCTGATAAAATCTGAATAACAAAAATTTTGGTATAAGAAATTTGTATTTATAATTTGTATGACATTACCTTCCAATAATATTTTTTTTATAACAAAATCTTGGCCTAAATGATGAGTGAATCTGAAACAATTATAAGTAAAAGACTAAAAGGTCCATGATGATAACTGTTTACACACGACTTACTTAATAAATTTACTGCATTGAATAATTTTTCTTTATATAACAGATAAATAGAGACTTGTTTGTAACTAAATAACGATTACTTCAATAATCTTATTAGGACACCATTCTGTATGCTTTCAAAATCCTATATGCTTCCTAATTATAATTCATGTACGCAAATTCATAACTCTTCAGCAGTGTTTTGTAACAAATAAAAGCCAAAAAAGTAACAACAAAAACCAACAAAAAAAAACAACAACAAACAAGAAATGTCGAATGACACATATGCCCCCCTTTTTTAACCCTTGACTCACATTATTGGTAATTTTGTTATAGAAAATTGACAAAAATGGGTACATGGAAGTGTTCAATTATGGAAAAAAGAAAGATAATGAAGACTTTGTGATAAATAGCTTTCAAGATAATGAGCGGAAATCATACTAACATTCAAAAACCCTGTGACCTTGACCTTCAACCTAGTGAGCCCAATATCAACAGGGGGTCACTAACTAGTTATGACCAATCACTATGTGAAATATGAAGACTTTGTGATAAATACTTTTCAAGATAATAAGGGGAAATCATTCTGACATTTAAGGCCCCTGTGACCGTGACCTTTGAACTAATGACCCCAAAAGCTATACAGGTCATCTGCTTGTTAATACCAATCACTATGTAAAATATGAAGACTTTAAGATAATTGTCTTTTAAGATAATGAGCTGAAATCATACTACCATTCAAGGACCCTGTAATCTTGACCTTTGACCTGGTGACCCCAAAATCAATAGGGTCCATCTACTAGTTATGACTAATCAATATGTGAAATATGAAGACTTTGTGATATTAAATAGTAACAAAGATAATAAGTGGAAATCATACTACTATTGAAGGCCCCTGTGACCTTGACCTTTGACCTCAAAATCGATAGGAGTCATCTACTAGTTATGACCATTCAATATGTGAAATATGAAGACTTTGTGATGAATTGTTACCAAGATAAGGAGCATACACCATTCTGACATTTAAGGCCCCTGTGACCTTGACCTTTGACCTAGTGACCCCAAATTCAATAGGGGTCATCTACTCGTTATGACCAATCACTGTATGAAATATGAAGACTATATGATGAATACTTTTCAAGATAATCAGCGGAAACCATTCTGAGATTTAAGGCCCCTGTGACCTTAACCTTTGACCTAGTGACCCCAAAATCAATAGGGGTCACCTACTGGTTACGACCAATCACTTTGTGAAATATGAAGACTTTGTAATGAATACTTTTCATGATAATCAGCGGAAACCATTCTGAAATTTATTGCCCCTGTGACCTTGACCTAGTGACCCCAAAATCAATAGGGGTCATCTACTAGTTATGACCAATCACTATGTGAAATATGAAGACTTTGTGATGAATAGTTTTCAAGATAATCAGCAGAAACCATGTGGTCTACCGATGGACAGACCGACAGACAGACCAACATTAGCAAAACAATATACCCCCTCTTCTTCGAAAGGGGCATAAAAATGGCAATACCACACAGCTATTGCCAAAGTAAGTAAAATGGTTGAACTATCTTACCTACAATACCACATGAACCAGCCATATGGATCTTGTTTATGAATCCAGCCACTCTCCTCCCACATTTCTAAACTACCTCCACATTTTACACCATATGTATTCACTTTCTCATCATATTTGGAGCTGGACACCTGAAATCACATTGATAATTAACATGTAATTATTTCACATTGGAAACAAAATTTGTAAAGTACCTGAATATCCTATTTACTTTATATAGTACAGACTTAGTAGTTTAAATGATTAGTGTTATGCAAAACTTTAACTGAGAAATTTCAATATTCTCTGAAGGCTGAAATTCAGTCCACATCTACGCCAGATTATGACCCTTGAATAGTGGTCTCAAATAAATGTCCTTAAGACATGAAGTAAGTTTCAAGTGAATACTACCATTAGTTTTGAAGATTGATGTTGCATGTAAAACTTTAACTTTAATCAAGAATTTCTAAGACCATAAAGGGCCATGGATACTCAAGTCAATTTCCATATAAAGTTATGAGCTTTGGATAGTCACAAAACAGAGATATACATTAAGATTAAAGTGAACACTTTCAGTAGTTAAGAAAATTGATGTTGCAAGCCAATTTTTCACAAGGAAGTTCCATAAGGTCCATAATTCAGTCAAAAACCATGTTAATGTTAAATTAAGGGGTCTTGGATTGTGACTTGCATATACGTTCTCAAAGCTGTAAGTTAACAATCAAATATCTTTGGTGGTCAATCAAATATCTTTAGCGGTCAATCAAATATGTTTGGTGGCCAATCAAATATCTTAAGTGGTTGATGAGAAATGAGGTTGTACACGAAGTTTCAGTTTTTCACTGATTAGGATAGTCCTACAATTTTTTAGAGTTGAGCTAAAATAATTTCAAAAAAATATTTTAAGCAACATCAATAACACAAATTATATAAATTAAAATATCAGATTATTTCATCAATCCTTCTTTTCTGCCAGTTTTAATACTACATACAGCTGCAAATTAAAATTATTACACATAAAATTTTTATTTTAATGATATTGTGCAATTAGAAAAAAAGTTTTTTTTGTTTTTTTGTTTTTTTTTACTTTTGAGAAAAAGTAATTATACCTGTTTTCCTATGTTCAATCCTTCAAGCCAATCTTTTGGGAGTTCTTTCCAGACGTTGGAATAACTCTTCCCTGTAAATGAAAATATGATACTAACTTTCACCCCTAGTAGAACATTTACATTACTGGTTGTTAAACAAAAGTACAATTTTAAAAAAATAGTTAAAAAAGTGAAATTCATGAATTTCCATGCTTGTGTTATAGTTAACAAATAGTGTATATTTATGAATTCTGAAAAGTTACCATCCCAAAGTTTTCCACAAGTTTGCTAAAGTATGAGAAAGAGTTTTAAGAGCAGCATGCCTCCGGATTTACGTTTTCATGAAAACTTAAGAATTGTTTCAATGAGTAAACAAATACCAAGGAATGCACAAGAGCTAATTTAACATAGCCAACAGCAACTACTACTGCAAGATCATTGTTATTCGCGGGGCACTACTTTTCCTGGTTTTTATGGATAGGTCAATCCACAAATTTAAAATCCAACAGAATTTCATTTTGTCTGCTTTAAGATTATTTTGCATCACATTAAAAATTTACATTTTACCTTTTGAAAAAATAGGCAGTCCACAAATGCAACAACCCACAGAAATGCTTATGACAAAACCACTGAATTAAGTGAATTTACAGTAGCCACAGAATAAAAACTTGTCAAACTATGAAGAAAACTCTCTTTCTCCATTAGTATTCAGGTAGAATTTTGGTGAAAAAATAGAAAACTCTGTCATATTTTGTATAACACATTTAAAATTTACATGGGTTATGACTTTTAAATTTAAAACATTTCTTTATCTTAATATATAAATACATTTTTCTTTAAGTTTGATTTTTTAACTATTGTATTTCAAGCCTAAAAGAGCTGTTTTGTTCTTTAAGAGTCACTGTACCTGTAACAGAGGACTTGATTGGTCTAAAATATGTCCCTCCAAAACTGCCAGTCTGGAGCACTTCCTGTGGTGTCATGTTTGGTCTCAACTCAGGGTGGTCATGAAACACCAACTGACCTTTTGCGTTCCTCTTTGGTAATGGTTCTGTAAACTTCAACTCATCTGTCTGGTAACATAGTTAGATAGTTTGTAAAAAATATCCTTATCCCTTGCAAACTTATGCATCTGTTCAAAATCATATGATTATCTTTAAATTGTATTGAATTATAATGAACATAAAAGATACTGATTAAAAATGCCCAACAACTTTTTCACCCTGAATATTTCCATGACAAACTGTGTGACACAACTTTTTTTATTGTTATTATTATTATCTTTTTTTTTCATAAAAAAGGCAAAATGAATAAACTAAAATCTAAGTGATACTTTTCGAAAATTTATTAATTTAGATTAAATATGCACTGATCATATAAAGTAAAATAAAGACGAAACTCCATCATGGAAAGGAATTAATATAAGTATTATGCTTGTTTTCCAATCCATATATATTGTGATGTAAAAATGTTACCTGCTTGTATAATTGATAAATAAAATATGTTTAAACTAAATTCTTCACAAAATATTTTAGAAAAGGAATTTCAATTACTGATATGACGCCATTCTTAATTATAATTAAAATGAAATTATTGGATTATAACAAATTAGTAAATTGGAATAAATAAGCTGCAATAAAGCTCTGTTAAGCAGTTCTAACCTCATTATTGTCTGTATCATCAATGAGTTTAGGGTAAGATTTGGGTGTAGCTTTACTCTGTTTTACAGTTGAAGTTTGTTTCACAGATGATTTAGAGCTGCTCTTTCCTGTTTTCTTTTCAACTGATGACCCTGATGCTTCTTCCTTCTTTGATTTCTTTGCTTTACCTGAAAAAAATTATTTCCCTACTTTGTTTGAAATAATATAAGTTTAAGGTTGTTCAATTAACTTTAAATTCAAAAGTCATAAATACCCTTTTTTGTGATTTTCATGACCAGTATTTTGGTTTAGAGACTGTCAGTTGTGTCCAGTGTCTAAAGCTACATAATTTATTTAATAAATGTCTACAACTTAAACCACTTAACAGCATGTTAATGTAATGAGTTATTTTTTCAGTAACTTCAATCTAAAAAAAATTATTACTTGTAATAATATAATTATATAATTGTTATAATTGTTATAATTATCAGGTATTTTCATTTCCTGATCATAATATGGTGACAATTACTGAACTGATAAATATTCTGTTCATTAACAAATAAAAATGCATTTCTACCTTTATCTACTTTAGTTGCAGATTCAGCTACTTTCCTTTTAGCCATTATCAGTAATCTTCTATCCAATAAACTGCAATAAATAAAATAGCAAAGTAGAGTTTTCTTTCTGCATTGTTTATTTACAGAAAAACACAGTGCATCTTTTTTATTAAGAATCTATGAAGCATAAAAAAAATCACATTAACATATGAAAATCATTGAACAAGAGCCACCGCCACACTTTAATTTTTCTTATTTCTTAAGTCAAACACATCACAGAGAGAAGAACTACAAAACATACTTTTTATAACAAACAAACAAAACTTAAATTTCATTGTCTTAATTATTCCCTCTTATATATCAAAATATATGACCCTCAGAATACCGTACTGTGGCTCTACAGACTGAGCTATCCGGCATGCTTACACATCTTCTCCCCTTAATAGTTAACAGTTCTGAAGCGCGACATACTCCCCTGCTATATTGAAATTTTTCCTTAAATTTCAGAGTTACAGAGCAATGTGAATTAAAGTCTTAGCTTTATTCAGTCACGGTCCCCTGTTGGGTGCAAAATGTCAGTGTGAGAAAAATGAGCAGCCTGACCGGGACTGAAACCCGGTACCCTCCTAGGGAATTCCCCAGGATTTTTTTAAGCGCTACATTTTTTTAATTAGACGGGGGTTCATCCCATACCGCGTGTCAAAACTTTTTGCCATTTTAGGTGTCAAGATACTGCTGTGGGCTGTTTTAAAACAAATAATGAAAGCTTTTCACTTGATAAACATTTTCTTAATTTTTATTATTTACTTTTTCCATTTCCAACAATTCAAATAAATAAACAATTATATATCAACACAAGTTCACAACATGTGATCAACATTTATATGTATGTGTGTGTCCCATTTAAATGAGTATATTTCAGTTGTTTTTTTTTCTTCATTAACATCATTAAAAGTGGGCCAGTCTTCTAGGTTTGTTGTCATTCCATGCCTTGACTGCCTTCTCAAAGTTGAAAGATTCTAATGGGGGTCCTTGAAGGGAGACGGCAAGAAGATAGTTTAGAACTTTAACAGAGAGACAATTCCTGTTTTCAGTCTTAACTCTCTTCAGGCAGCTGAATCCTTGCTCACAATCTGAAATTAATAAATGAAAGTAATCATTTATGTTAACCTCATGTCTTTTATTTATATTGTTTGTTTACTGTGAATTTTTGAAAATTTAAAACTTCGCGCCTGTTTAAACTTAACTTAGTAAAAAAATTTATATTTGAAATGTTGAAAAACTTGTAGCAAAGTGTTACACATCTGCAACTGTCATTGGAATTTCATTAATATTCAAGAATGAATGAATTTGATAATAATTACCTGCAGTAGAGGTTGGGAGGAGGAGACCCACAGCAGCAATTCTGTAAAGAGCTGGATGACAGGTAGAAAGGTTGCCAGTAATCCAGGTCATGGTCTAGTTGGCTGACTGATCAGTCCCCTCTAGACTGGCACGTACCTGGTGCCAGTGGCTGCGGCACTGCTCCATATCTACTATAGCTATAGGGATTAAACGATGATAGAGTATAATCGAAAATTGATTGGTTATAGAACAAAGTTTAATAATCGATCATCGGTAATTTATTTTCTTGCTGTTACTTAAGTGACTAACTGTATTATAACAACACTCTAAATTAAAGCCTGAGTTTTGTTTGAAACATTAATTTTCATTCAATTGAATATGAAAGCATACTGGTGACCATTGAGTTAACATCAGGCATGCTAGTTTAAAGGTATACTATGCTAAAATTTGACATTAGAAAATATTTAAAATTGCTATACCGTCTATTTGTAGATATAAAATAAACATGTTTTGACTTCACACAAAGAAGATATGTTATGTATAAAATTATTCTACACACTATAGGTGGTTGTTGCAATATCAATATATAGTGTCATTAAAAAAACTGGCAGTTTTGTTAAGAACAATTCGACCAACTTAACTTGTTCCCATACATAGTTTATTCATTCCTTTATAGAAAGTGAGATATAATAATTTCATAGATTTTAATGAATTTATTTGATTAAAATATTTTACTCAAGGATGAGCATAGTATATCTTAAAACTAATTTATTTCAGTTGATAAAGTGGTGGTCACATGGAAATGGAATTCTTATAAATATTAAAGCATGATATGTACATTATACTTTTTACTTTGTTATCATAAATGTTTCGATTATATAATCGATGATTGATCGAAAAGGGTTGTTCGATTATTTTCGATGATCGATTATGATTTTTGTCCGATTAAGAAACCCTAATATCTACACCAAAGTGCCTGGCCAGCTCCTGTATGTCCTGACAAACCAATGCTAAGGGGTAGGACAGTAGATTGCACTTCACAAAGCTGTCCGTGAACAGACTCAATTAAAGAGGGCCTGCAAAATTAATATTTTTTTTCATTTTTGGGATTCAGTGAACAGAAACAGATTACAAGATATTTTTAATTAAAAAGAAAATGACCAATTGACTGTGACTAAGTGGGATTGTTGATGTAAAGTTTTTGTTGTTGATTTCACTCAGTTGCAAGTTGATAATGAACAGTCGTAAATGTTTTCAATGTTAAAGTAGCCATCAACCAAATTTATTTCTGAATATCTATGCAGTTTAATCCAAGTAAAATACGATTATCATGTATATATTAAAAAGCAAAATGATCCTGAGACAGTTTCAACGACATTGCTCACAAAAAAAACTCTTAAAATTGATAGTGAACTAGGCTTCCCTTATTCATGTTAGACATATTATTTTAGACATAACGATCGTAAGAAAGTGAAAGATGAAATCACAGGAGCTTGAAATTCTATCAATAACCGCTCAAAAGTCCGATTTAAAAAAAAATCCATACCTATAATATATAAAAAAAAAAACACTGTTTTTTTAAATATAGGTATGGATTTTTTTTTTTTCGGACTTTTGAGCGGTTATTGATAGAATTTCAATCTCCTGTGATGAAATTGATCATTACACTAATATCAGGACCATTAACCCATTCAAAACAATAAAAGTTATTACACCTACCTGAAACATGTAAATATCACACATGCCGCGGTTAAATTGCACCCTTCTCAATACACGGTAATTGACAACACCTGAAAGTGCACATACAGTCGTCTGCAGACATCGATGACTGGTGTCTGTGACGTCACACAGTCTAAAGGCAATCAGTGTATCGGGTTGTGTATACGCCTCGGGTAATTATCTACACAGGACATGTGTATTGGCTTGTTTATTTGGCTAATTGGGGTTAACTTATAGACACAATAGAAAGGAATATCGGTCATTTTTTAAAGCGCTATGATATTTTTAAGCGCATCGGGATTTCTTGTTCAGAAATTTTAGTGCATCGGTGCCGATGCGCTAAAAGCGCCTGGGGAATTCCCTGCCTCCGAATACCGTACCATGGCTCTACCCACTGAGCTATCCGGCTGCTTACACATCTTCTCCCCTTTAAAGTGAACAGTTCTGAACCGTGTCATAATAATATACTTCTCCATTTAATATGATTTATTAAACATTTAAATACTTCAATAAAATATCTTTTTTTTCTTATTTATATTAATTAACATCTTAATACTTCAATAATAATGTGTTCCTAAAAATTTTGGCACAACTGTCCGCTTATTTGCAAATATGCAGACAGTTCTCCCCAGAAATAGGGAGAGAACAGTCAGGGAGGAAACGTCAGGGAAGGGACTGGTAAGGGAGAAAATAGTCTGACTACCTCCTGAAATCCGAATTATTTTGTGTCCGAAATAGACTCAAATCTGGTAAACGTAAACTTATTGTGAATAGTTACTGTACCATTGATGAACCCAATCCGATTTGTATAACAAAGACTACCCGAAAGTTTAACAAACCAAATATCTACACAATATATATAAATTTTACAGGTAATACGAAAATGTTTGTTACCTAATACCAATTAGCAGCATCAAATTTCCCGCTAATAATCTAAGCTATATTCCGTAACGATTTATGGACTTTCGAACCACGAACATTTCGGACCACACTTGGCACACTTGGAAACATAATTATAGAACATTTCGTTCCTAGTCCGTATCCGTAATCAGGACATTCTAGGTGAATTACATATTCAACAAATTTTGAATGAGGTTCATAGTAACGTTTGGGAATCTCTTCAGTTGGTCGTACCAAAGAGCTGTATTTAGAAGTTTCTGGTCATACAGTGAAACAGGGACTACACAATACCATACAACAGTAATATATATGAATACAACTTGAAAATCTCGAATAGGTATACGTACACAATACCACAAGAGTCATATACAGGATATTGTACACTTTTATAAGATTTTGATTATTTTAGTTCATCCCAAAGTGTCACACAGTCATAGAGGGGATGTACAACACTACAATAGTCATACATAATGGTACAATAAAAATTTGATCATTGCAATGATACAGAAGGATACAATAAGAGTTTATTTATTTTGGTCCATACCAGAGAAACATACAGGGAATACACAATACTACAAGAGCAAGGATATGGTAAGAATTTGGTCCAAGCACGTTTACCTTAATATGAATCCATGGTCCTAGATGGTCATACAAGAGATGCACAACACTGCAAAAGTAAAACACAAGAATTAAATAATAATTTTCCATTTTAGTCAATCTGAAAGATTCATCCATAATTCTACCAGAATAAATCAAAAGGAGACATTAATTTCATAATTACAAATCAAATGGGCCAAAGATATAATAAACAGGGGATACACAATATTTATTATTTGTAATTTTGATATGTCCTAAAACACAACCCTTTTTACATCAATAATGAATAATGTGTTTTGCATACAATATACAAGAAGCTTTATCAAACAAAAGGTTAAATGCCAGTTAAAAAACATTAGCTTAATTATTTACCGGCAATGACAAAAGAAAACAAACGTATCAATTAACACAACAGCTTATAAATCTTGATACAAATAATATAAGGAATAAATAAAGCTTAAAGCAAAATTCAAATTTAAATGAGCATGTGAAGAAACAATAAATAATATAATTAAGGGGAAATATTTTATTCAAAGATAACTAAACTATGAGAATTTGAAATACGATAAATCGTACTGAAAAAGATGTTGTGACACATCTGATTAAAATGAAAACTTGCACGTTCATATCATTTTGACGGTTAATTTTAAACAGGAAAATGACAATTATATTACCCACAAAATAAAAACTTCGTAAGTGGCATATGTGCCCAAATCCACTGATAGTTGTTGCAAATGAAGACACATTCTAAAAGGTACTATCTGACACGAATGCGTGTATGTAGTGTAGGATTTACCATAACTGTCATTTTAAGTCCCGGATGTAATAGGTCTGTGCTGACATTAACGTGCTTTTAAAGATTTGAATCTGAAACTAATTAAAGTTTAACTTTTTATGATTCAATTATGTGTTTAAATGAGTCATGATAATTTTGAAAAACTTTAAAAAAAAAAAAACAAATTTATTTGGCTCTTTAGTTAAGAAAATAAGGATGTACTTTTGCATTTAGTTACATTTGTATATGAATGCTACCAGCTTAGAAGTAGTGTATTAAACTTGTGTCAGACTCTGAAATAATGTCATTTTATCATATCAGAACGTTTTAATGTATCAGATAGTATATTTAATCACATTGTTTTATCAATGAATATTGTGTTATAAAATAGCTGACAGCTGTTGTCAACTTAAGTACTCATGAACTGTATTTTATGGAATTATGTGGTTGTTTGTCCTAAGCCCATTGTGCTATACAGTGTGAAGGGTATGTGCATCTGACTGTTTAAATTTACTTGTTATATAATTATGGTTTTATTAAAATAGATGAACAATGTAGGAACCAGCAGGTTAACAACCTTGTCCATAACAAATTGTTATTATTAGACTGTGCTAGTGTGAGAACATTAACTTTATAACATAAATACATCGTCAGCAGTCAGCACTTTTACCTATGATATAGAACTTAAAAGCCATACGTTGTCTTTTAAAATACTTTTAACTTTAATACAGGGGATTGCTGGCCCCTACGTCGCTCACTACTTATTTAAAACCCATATCATGAACTTCATTTATGAAATCAATGACTTCAATTTAAAATTTAAGTTATTAAAGACAATTTAGCATATAAAATATAATAACAAAATAAATGGAGATCAGGAATATTGGGTCTGATACCTTTAGTTAATTGTTTTAAAAATAATCAGAATAAAGCTTTATTTACTTTAAAACACCTATTTTATGTGATTAATAGAATCTATCATTGGGTTAGATAGAGGTGTAATAGGATGGGTATTTACGGTAATCTAAGTTAACAGTTAATCTATAAGTTATGAGTTACTATCTTTCATACTTATTGCATGGTATATACAATGTTATTCTCAACCAATCAAATTGTTGTTTTGAATACTGAATTGTATAAATAAGCTGACTTTGGTAATGTTAGCTAGGTTAGGTACTGGTACCTACTCTGGTCAGTACAACAAGGCTTAGCCTTGAAACATTAAACTGGACTTAGTCCTTAACAAACGTTTATGTTTATTATAAACGACCATATATATAAAAATATCATAAACATAATCTTAATTAAATAATAAATATAGTTATTCTTAATATAAAACTAAATATAAATTGATTAGTATACTCATTCAAATTTGTTAGGGCTTTTCATATATTAAAAGCATTGATTGAAATTGAATTTACTAGTTGTTGTTGTTTAGTCCATCATCTTTATATAGTAACACTTATATATAAATCTACTGAGCCCTGAGAACTTACTCCAGTTATAATTTGTGATCGTTTGGTCTCCGTGTAAAGCATTGATTCTCATTAGAACCTGACCACTTAGCGCGTTCGGCATACCTACTCGAGTTAACACGGGTTAACACGGGTAATGCTCTAGTACAACTCGTGTTACCCGGGTAATGTTACTCGTGTGACCAAAATTCTACCCACCTCAAGAAGCCGGGAAAGTGGGTAATTCTATCCGAATATATTGCCACTTGCAGGTTCAATATGGCGGAATCGACGGAAACCTCAACCGCGTTTGTTGACGAGAATGGAAATAGGTAAAAATTTTAAGTTTAATGATTTTTGACAGAGTTATGGCCCTTTAATGATTTTTTCATTTTTTTTCTGGACTACTTACTTATACTACTTACACAATTTGAATGAAATGTTACTGGATTGATTGGTACCTCAGGTACTGCACTTATTTAACTGTTTTTTTGGTTGAAATTATCTATACTGACTCGGGGGTCTAGTTATTAGAGTCGCTGACGACTTCTCTGGCATGGTTTCGATTCCTGAGAGATGCCTTGATGTACAAGATATGATTGTAGTACTTGTGTTACTCTCCAGGAATGATGGTTAGGAAACCTCCCACCTATATAATTGAAATA